TACACCGGTTAATTCGGTCCGGTCTGGTCTGGTCCGAGTCATTTTTTCAGCCCGAACCGATTTTTGAACACCCCTAATTATGAAAATTGTTTTAGCCAATCCTTATATCAATCAATCAAAGCCTTAATCCCATAGATGGGGTCAGTTACATGAACCAAAAATGATTATTCCGTGTAATCGTCCACAAAAATCTTCCTCCTCCATCCCTTACGATCCAATACCTCACACAAGTCCATATACTTCATACACAAACTTTCATATGTGGCTGGCCACACACACCAATCTTCTCTCTCCTCTTTTCTTCTTCTCCAAGTGAACATTTCTGTTCTTGGTCCTCATCCAAGCCACAATTTTATTTAATTATTTTTTTTTTCAAAAAAATCTTTCACCATTCAAGCTTTCTCTCTCTTACCTCTTTCCTTTGCACTTTCATCTTCTTCAATTCTTTCAATTTTTAATTTTCACAATTTTGTTGGTAATTATTGAAAAAAATGCAATTGTGAGGCAAAACCCCCTATATTCAAGCAAATCCGAGCAACTGGTGGCGATTTGGTGAATTATAGTGGCTGAACTGGTCGTGTTTGTGGTTGGAGGCGGGCGACTGGTCGTGGGGAGATGTTTGATTGTTGTGGTGGTTGGAATTGGTGGTTTGGTGGCTGCTTTAGCGATGGAATTGATGGTCCATTTAGGGGTTCCTAGGTCTGGGGTTACTTGGTCGAAGGGGTTACTCTGTCAGAGGTTACTTTTGTCAGGGTTACTTGTATTTTAGCTGATTGGCAATCCTTAGAGCACTTACAATGGTGGGCAAAATAAAATGCTCATGGGCATTTTGGTAGAAGTAGTCTTGCAATGGTGAGCAAAAGTGAAAATGCCCATGGGCATTTGTTATTTTGCCCATGAGATGAGCAAAATAAAGGATGAATAGTGCTCTGGTGGCCCCACAATTTGCAATGGTTATATTTTTTGTAATGCAAATTCTGAAATAAATATTTATTAAAAATTAAAATTACCAACGGTCATAAAATTTAATTCTCTATAAATAGACATGCATTTTGGTATATTTTGGTATAATTTCAGAAATACTATAAATCCTCCATATTCTTTATTATAACGATAAAAACGACACAAATAAAAAAAAAATAAGTTACACAAATTTAGACTAGTTTTTATTTATTTGGAGTAATATTATTAAAATATAGATGAAATTAATAAATAAAGAAGTGTTGTGTAGAAGAGAGAAAGTAATGGTGGGGTATTGAAAAAGTAAGAGAGAGAGAGAGAGTAGTGGGCAAGCATTTTTTTTGCTCACCATCGGGAGAGAAATTGTGAAAAAAAAATTGCCCATGGGCAAAACAGATTTGTTGAGAGCGAAAGTGGGTAGAGAAATAGTGAGTGAACATTTTTTTTGCTCACTATTGAGAGTGGTCTTATAAACTTGTAAATTTGTCTTTGTATAAAAAGCTCCAAGAAACAGTCAATAAGGGAATAATAGCAGGATTCATATGTAAAGCATGTCTCATGTTTTCTTCTTCTTTAAAAATTAAAATACACTAGGAACTTTCACAAAATTTACAATGTTGTTGATTTGGTACTGTATTTTTTGGGAGAATTAAACTACGTAGTTTTCATAAGCTAGGTTTCTCAACACCTTTGTAATGGATTAAAGAGTCTACTTTTGAATGTATGTCACTAGGTATTTTCATGATAATAGACGGTATTTTGGAAATTTAATTAATTTTTTCAGAATATATGGCTGATAAAGATATTGGAAAAATGTGAGAAATTCTGAAGATAAGGTTGAGAAGTTTGCTGATGTTATATACGCTGGCAACCTAATAATTCAGCAGTACTTTTCTGTTCTAAAAGTAACATTTTAAGTTTTAAGTTGAACACTTATATGTTTCTAACTCATTTTCTTGGTAGTAGTTCAAGTAATTCCGACATTAGTTAGTTAAATTGGTGGACTTATTTCTCAAACAGAATAATTTTCATCCAATTGTTTTACCTCGTTTGGTATGAGTAGTTGCTGCTGTTTTACAAGAGTACTATGCATTATTATTGATTTTTAGTCTAATTGACTCTTCTTCTTTCATGGGTTGAAATGTTGAATGCTGCCCAAGGCTTTATATTTATTATATCCATCTACCACACGACAGGGCCGTAGCCCATAGGGGTGTTCGAGGTTCGATTTGATAGCTGATAATTTTATTTTTTTTAATTGCTATTCCCTCCATTTCATATTTAGAAGTCTATTTTCCTTTTTTGGGTGTTCAAAATTAGAAGTATGTTTCTATTTATAAATAGTACTTTTTGACAATAATACCCTCTTTTTGATGATTTGTCATCCTTTTTCTTTTTGTTTTTTGTACTTTTGGCATCAATTTTCAACAATTTCTCACTCCATCTCTTTAATAATTCTCAACCACTTTTTCTCTCTCTATCTCTCTCTAACCACACATACATATTTGTACTCCTAACCAATTTCCTTAATTCTAGTGAAAAATGGAAAATAGGCTTCTAATTATAAAATGGAGGGAGTATAACTTAATAAGGAGTACATAGCTCATATAAATGTGTAATAAAATTTGGTTTGTGATTTACGAGTAGTGGGACATAGTTGAAAGTAGGGGTGTTCAAAAATTGGTTCGGACCGAAAAAATGGACCGGATCGGACCAAATTAATCGGGACGGTCTCCGGGTCGAGAAATTTATTTTTCCGGTCCGGTCCAAAAACCTATAAAAACTTTTGCTTAAAATTATACATAAAACCTTTAATAATAATTAAGATTATCCTTAACAAGGTTTGAAACTTTAGTCATATGAGCTTTTTTATACTAAACATATAAAAAAACGTTAATATATTGTTTTTCCTTTATATTTTTTCGAATTTTCCATAAATTATTTAAAATTTAGGAATTTTTTTATAAAAATTCTAAAATCGATCCTAACCGGTCTTCTTGACCGATTTTTTCGGTCCGAGTTTTGAATCGATTTTTTCGGTCCGATCTTCGGTTCTTGAAATTCAATTCTTCGACCCGTCCGGTCTTGAACCGATGAACGGCCCTAGTTGAAAGTCAATACAACTTGTGACATGTTACATAGTACGAAGTATGTGTTATTTGACCTTTGTAAATTATTATTATTTGCAATTGAAATCAAACCATGAATTGCATAACCGCAAACAAATTGAAATCGCTACAAACGGTTAGTGACTTAGGGGTCGTTTGGTTAAGAAGGGGTAAACAGAATGGAATTAAGAAAGGGATTGAGGGGGAAAGGAAATGATACCCTTTGTTGTAGTATGTTGTTTGGGTTACATAAGTAATAAGTTACATCTTCCACCAACTTTTCAAAAAAACTTCTCCCTCATATTAATGGAGCACCACCCACTCCATCTTGACGCCGCTTTCGAACCCCTTCCCTGTTGTCACCGCCACTTTTCACGCCGCCACCTTCACGCTGCCCCTCTAAGGCCCCACAACCGACATTCTCTCTCATCTTATTCTATTACCTCCACCATAAAATGTAAAATTTAAGGTTTTAAAGATCAAATTCACCCTTAAAAACTCTAGATCTGGAGCTTTTATGGGTGTATTTGACCATCTAAAGCCATATTTGATGATGTAAAAACGTAATTTTTTCACTTATAATTTTTTTAATTTTAAAATTAGTAGTAATTGGGAGGTTGTATGTGGTTTTTTCTGGTGGTGGTGGGGCTTCGGGTGGTTGTGGTGGTTTTGATTAATGGTTGTGGTGGTATCATGGTAATTTCAAAGTGGTTTCATGGAGCATTTGAGTTTTGGGGGCGTTTGAAGGTGGTTGTGGTGGTCGCCGGTGGTGGTGACGGCTACGGTGGGGTCGTCGGGTGGGGCGGTTGTGGCAGTGGGAGGTTGCTAGTAGATCAAGTCAGGTGGTGGTGTGTGTTTTAACGGTGGTCAAAGTTGGTTATGGTTGTTGGGGGTAGAGGATTTTGGGGTAATGGATGATTCCCCAAGGTTGGGGAATCATGACGGAAGAAAATTGGGTAATCAAAGGGGAAAGAGAATGATTAAATTAGATAACCAAACAACATTAAAGGGAATTATGGCAGTTGATTCCCATTGCGTTTCTTGAAACCCCCCAACCAAACGTCCCCTTAGTGTAGTTCAAAGTATTGGGCTACGAGGTAAGCCCTTGTCATAATGAATTAAAATGATACATTGAGAATATTTAAAAATACGTAATATATACTTATTACAATACTTTTCAATCTATTTTCTAATGCGAGATTGTGAGACAATTTTTTCCATGGACCAAAGAGTTTATGTTATGCCTTAACACTTCAGATTTAAACACTACCTTTTTTTTTTTTCTTTTTTTTTTAAAATGTACCTTTGTTAGTAGATGACAAGGAATTGCCTTACACTCGGTATATGAATGTTTGCAATTTGCATTATCAACCCCCTCACACTTGATCAACCATTATACCCTTCTTTTTTATACTTGTATATAGAGGTGTCTATTCGAGTACTCAAGTTGGGTTGGGCTAAATCTATTTCAAAGTTGAGTCATGTTAAATTATTGTGTCCTTAAGAGATTAAGAGTCAAATTCAAATCGAGTTTTTTGTAACCAATTAAGTTAGTTTTTAACACCTCTACTTATGTACAAGTATTGATAAAAAGCTACAATCTTTAAAGCTGACAACTAAAAACCCATCCATGTGAAATTTAAGACATTAACCCCATAGTATAAAATATAAAAGCAAATATAGTAGTCCGCTATTGGTGTCTTGGTATATTAAAATCAAGAATACTCAATACTAATCCAAAGTTGAATAAAAGAGTAAAAAGACAAAATCATCTTTTCTCCAATTTCCAATCCTGTTAACCACAAATCACCTTCCTTTTCCCTTAATCAACATTATTAAAACCACATTAACACAAGGGTATTAACGTAATTAAACTATAGTTAAAAAAAAAAAAAACCAACAAAAACTCCATCAAAACAGGCAAAAGCTAAAACCAAATACCCTCTCACACATCCATCCATCTACCTAAAAGCCGGCAAAATGACTCTTATTAATGACTCCGATGACCGATTAACCGGCACTTCCAAGTCTCCAAACCTACATTACCCCACCAAATTCTCCGACTCTTTCCTGCCACGTGTCCTTCCTCGGTTACCTATGTCTTGACGAACACACGCCGTCAAATTCCCCCTTACCCTCCTTTCCTTTTCCGTCACCCTAAACGGCAATTTCAATTCAATCAATCAAACCAACAACATCTTTCTTTCTCTCTCTAAAAAAAACCCTAATTTTCTCTCTCCTGTTTTCTTCACCACCAGATCCATGGACGAAGATGACGAAACCCGGTCCCACACGTCGATTGGGAGCGAACCTCATTCACCGCCTTCACCGCCGTCCGGTCAAATCACCGTCACCGTTGCGGCGGAACCTCCGTCAACGACACCGTCTTCAACTCCGCAACCGCCGCCTCAATTGTCGCAGAGTTCGCTTACTCTCGCGCTTCCGATCCAGCAATTCCCTCGGCCGCTCGCAATCGTTGCTCCCGGCGGCGGAAGCGGTGGTAGTGGTGGAGGAGGAGGAGGAGGGAGAGAGGATTGTTGGAGCGAAGGAGCGACATCGGTGTTGATCGACGCGTGGGGGGAGAGGTACATGGAGTTAAGCAGAGGGAATCTGAAGCAGAAACATTGGAAAGAAGTGGCGGATATTGTTAGTAGCAGGGAGGATTTCACCAAGGTTCCCAAGACGGATATACAGTGCAAGAATCGAATCGATACGGTCAAGAAGAAGTACAAGGCTGAGAAACAGAAGGTTGCCAGCGGCTGTGGCCCTAGCCGCTGGCCGTTCTTTGACCGCCTTGATCGGCTTATTGGTCCTGCCGCTGCAACCCCAAACTCCGCTAAGGGGCCGGGTTCGGGTTTGGGGCCACTAACGACTGCGACAGTCTCCACCGGCGGACCGCCTCCCCACGGGAAGCCGGTCCCCGTTGGAATTCCGGTAGGGGTTAGACAACATCAGCAACCCCTACCGCTCCCCTTCCCGCCCCACTACCTACAGACCCCGCCCCATTTACAGTCTCCCAATCCGCAATTACGGCAGCAACAACTGCAGCAGCAACACCGGCAGCACCAATTGCAGCAGCAGCAGCAATTGAGACAGAGTCTTCAATTTACGCCTCCTAGTGGAATTCCACAGATGAGATATAATAATAATAACATCAATACTCCTGCTTCTGGTGCTACTAGTAATGTTAATAGGTTACAACAATTAGAGCAAATACAAAAGCATCAGCAACAGTTTAGGAGGGTACCGCCTCCGGTTGAATCCGATTCTGATCCGGAGGAATGGTCGCATGATTCAGGGGATAGTTTACCACCGGAGAGGACGGGGTTTGATCGAAGGAAGCGGCCGAGGATGGATGGTAACAGGGGAGGCGAAAGGGGGAAGGCAAAGGGTAAGGGCAGGGATAAGAAAGAGGCTGTGAGGGTGTGGGGGAGCTCGGTGAGGGATTTAACGAGGGCGATTATGAAGTTCGGGGAGGCGTATGAGGCGGCTGAGAGCGCAAAATTGCAGCACATTGTGGAGATGGAGATGCAAAGGATGAAGTTTGCTAAGGAATTGGAGTTGCAGAGGATGAAGTTTATGATGAAGACTCAACTCGAGCTTTCGCAATTGAATGGGAATAATAATGGTAGTAATAATAGTGATAGTAGAGGTGGTGGTGCTGGTGGTGGAAGTGGTGGCGGTGTTGGAGGCGGCGAAAGTAATCATATGAATCATCTCCATGAGAATCATATGAATCATGCTAATAGTGATAGTAGTAATTAGTAGTTCATTGTTGGTAGATGTAGAGAAAAGCAGAGGACAGGTTAGATCACATCTCTTTATATTAGTAGTTTGTTGATGGGCTAAAGATGATCAAAGTTTAAGTTTTTATTTGGTGGGAAAAGATTTATTTGCTCTGATTGATATAATCATTTGATTTGAAAATTAAAAGGGGGGTTAAAGTATTTTGTAATTGATGATTTTTATATGAGAAACTCTAGTTTATTGTCTATCTGTTAGCTTTTTAGAGAATTAAATCTATGAATGTTGTTTACTACAGTAACTTATTAATTTATGAGCTGAATGATATGGTAAATGCATTAGAAAGTCTGAAACTTGAGGAAGAGTTGCTGGAAAGTAGCATTTGTTAAGCATTACTTAGTCTTTGCATTAGTAAAGCGCGGTTGCATTTAGCACCCTGAATGTTATGGTAAGTGCATTGGTTAGTTAGAATCTTGAGGAAGAGCTGCTGGAAAGCAGCATTTGTTATGCATCATTAAGACTTTTCGATTAGTAAAGTAAGGTTGCATTAGCAATTTAGCACCCGGCACCCGCCCCAATTGATATGGTAAGCAAAAACTGCATTAATAAGTCAGAAAGTACAATTAGAGTTGCTGGAAAGCAGAAACAACATTTGTTAAGCACTGTATTATTTATTTAGTCTTTGCCATTAGTAAAGTGAGGTTGCATTTAGTGCCCGAATTTTATGGTAAGTGCATTGATAAGTCAGAAACTTGATTAAGAGTTGATGGAAAGCAGCATTTGTTAACCATTATAGTCTTTGCGATTAGTAAAGTGAGGTTGCATTTAGCACCCTGGATGATATGGTAAGTCTTTGTGATTAGTAAGGTTGCATTTAGTGCCCTGGACTAGGAAAATATGTTGAAATTATGTGAGGAAGATGGTTAGAAGTTAGAAGAATGTCTTTGCTCTTCTGTATTACTGATTCTGTTCTCTTTTCAGGGGAATTTGATTCATTTAACTTGCTTTATGAAAACTGCTTGTTTTGGCCACTGCTTTCTCAACATACAGTCCTACATCTGTATCTGGTCCACTGGGTTTTGTTTTTAACAAACTGTGTTTGTGTTGAGGGACTGAATTATTTGAAATTATTGAATGTGATTTCCCTCGAAGCTGGTCATCTTATCTATTATATATGAATTTCTGCTTATTACCAGAATGAGGAAAACATAGAAGTACTACTACTGAATTAGAGATAGCTTGTGTTTGTGTATATTCCAAAAATCCAAAATAATACTCCCTTTGTCCGTCATTAGAGAGAGTGGGAAATTTTAACTTAGAACTATAAATTTGAAAGTGTACCCCAAACTGGGGTAGGTGGCCGACTGGCTGGTATAGAAATTTTAGGTGGGTGTGGGGGACTCATCCGCACTCGCACTCGCACCCGCACCATCAGCTTGACATTTTTACCGCCCAAAGTCCCAAACTGAATTAGAATATGATATGCTATTTCGGAATACAGTTTATTTGGCATGGAGTATATTAAATTTAGGCCCTGCTCATACTAAAAATAAGAGTTGACGCTTGTAATTCTAGATTGGTTTTGGTTCTTGTTAATTATCAAGTAAATATCCCATCAATTAATTTAGTTCTGACCTTCTGATCTAATGATCTGAGTTATAAAAAATAAATAATAAATAAATAAAATAAAAACACTTAAGGCAATTGATTTTCTTGTTGGATGAGCTTAGTTATGGGATGAAAAGCGTATGTGGAGCCCAAAAGCATGGACTTGGGCCATTCTTAATTTCAACAAATCTTGTCTGATTTCTTCTTTAACTATGTACATTTGCCTACTAATACTAAGGTCTAAATGTCTAATCTGAATTATTTAATCTTTATATTTCAATTAGGGGGAGGGTACATTCAAATATTGTCAAATAATCAAAGGCCTCTTGTATTTTTATAATATTACTAGCCATTCAAAGAAACCTTCTAAGACTGATGGGATTATTTTATATAGGGAGTAGGGACGAGAAAGGGCTTGATTAACACTATGTTTGGATAACACTAATGAAAGGAAAGGGGGGAAAGGAAAAAGAGGGAGGGCAGGGAGGAGGTGACCTTCCATTTTCCCTCGAAATCTCTCCAACAGTAGAAAGATTTGTTTTATTAAAAGGGGAAGGAAAATGGATCCTTCCCATTACCTTCCCTTCTCTCCTTACAATAGGTATCCAAACAAAGGATGATGCATTTCTTTTCTCTTCTCCTCCTTTCCCTCCATTTCTCTCTATCTAAACATAGTGTAAGTGGTTTATTAAAGTAATTGCGGTTCGGATTTGCTAATGCTCTAAATTACGTGTGATTGTATGAGTTCAAGATTGTATGTGTAGTGGCTCATTATACGTTATGCCTATTCTAATACGAGTAGTCTTTGTACACTTTTGTTAGTCCTCTTGAGCTATTGTTATTTCATTAATTTTTGGTTGGATGGAGTTGATAACAATTATTTGGTGAAAACCCGAATATATTGAATGTAATTAAAATGAAGGTTCCTCATAGTAGTCAAAAGTATGGACAAACACAAAAGTATCATAAGCTTAAAGGAAATACAGATAAACAAACAAAGATGGAGATCATGAATTGAATGGTGGATTAGATAATGGTGATACACTAGGCCCTGTTCATTTGAGCTGATGTGGTATGCTACTCTGCACTGCTTTGCTGAGCCCTGCTCTGTTAAGTATTAATCTGCTATGCTAACACCTACTCTGCTATACTCTACTGTACTGACACCTACTCTGCTTTGTTGAAATCTGATCTGCTCTATTATGTTATGCTCAGAAACTCAAAATAACATGGCCTAATACGTACTTGATAGGCATCTAAGGTTATGGATTTCGGGTGTATAAACATTATAATTTTAAATGCATGCCAACAATAGATAGGAAACTACACTGTATATATCTATATAAATCATTCCTCTAATCCGTTTATTAAATAGTGAGATTTTTAAATGACATTTCCAACTGTAATACATTTGGAACCATTGATAGGTTAAATTTGATACTATAAAATATACATCTAAATACAGTATAAAAAGACATAAGTAGACGAACAAAGGGGATGATCTCCCCACTTTCTACATATAGTAACCTTCTAACATATGATCTCTAAAAAATGGACTGTCAAAGAAAATGTGTTAAATTTGTGGCGCCAAATTTTGTTAGTTCACACAGTGTTCGTTTTACTTATATTGTACTCGTAGCTGTTGATGGAATTTATAATTTAGTTTAATCTTCACCTATCTTCCTAATTTTGCGACAAAAGGTCTCAAACCATTTATGTCTCCTGCTACCGACCAATGGTTGAGAGTCAAATTCTATTTCTTATTCTACCCAACTCGACCAATGCATTGTATTGCCAGTTTGTCACCATTGCTTAACTTACTAATTAAGCGCAACACAAAAATGCTTGAATTGATTTAGACTATGTTTTTTTGAGCTTCTAAGCAAAATACAACAGAGTAGGTGTCAGCAGAGCAAAGCATAGCAGATTTATACTCAGCACAACATAGCAGACCACAACAGCTCAAAAAAACAGGGTCTTACTTAAATTATCCTTCTATTCCAATTAACTTTTACAATTTTCTTTTTTTAACTATTTCGTATTAAGGTCACTTTGAGGGTGAGAATTCCTTACCCTCCCCCCTCACTTTCAAAGTGTCTTAACTGTAAATATTGGATAAAAAAAAAAAACCGTGAGGGTTGAGGTTCAAGCTCATTGTTTGAATTCTAGGACAAGGACATTAAACTAATCAAATTGATCTATTCGGATATTAAAAACAGTAAGATTTTGGGACAATTTTTGTGCATATATCATAGGTCATTATCACTAAAGACGCTAATGAAACTAATCACGCATTAAATTATTGTTTGCCAGCTCCCAAATGATGAAGGTGTAACTTAGCCAAGGATCGAGCTAGGCTATGACAGATTCCTACTTGTATTATGTATTTATTATGTGTTATGCTTGCTATAGAAAAATGTAAAATTGTATATTTGTAAGTACCTAATACATACTTCATACATTGTGAACATAGAAACAAATGAGACGTAAATTTGGCTTACGAATCATAAAGAAACTTTGACTTGGGTTTTGGATCAAAGGTTTGGATGTAGAAAATATGCACAGCCTAGATTCCTGAAGATGTGTCTTTGAAGTAGGCAACGAATCAAGAAATTGCAAGGCAATAATTGGACTAATACCACCTCCTATCCTAATACTTTGAAATATAATGTTGATGGGTCCTCAACAAGGAAAAATAACATGACAAGTATTAGTCGCAATTGCGGTATTCTTAGAAATTAATAATTGAAGAGGTGCATTGTGTGAACTTCTAACTTACCAAATTATCGTACTTTCTCCGTTCCTAATTAGATGACACGTTTCTTTTATCACTTTTGTCAACGCATAATTTTAACGATTTATATCTTCCATTATCAACATTGTAAAATTATAAAAAGTGAATATTAATAAAATATACATTATGACGATTCAAACAAGATCACACATGATTATATTTTATCATAGCTACAAATCACAAAAACTAGTCAAAGTGTTGTTTGTGAATAGTGCAAAAGTCAAATTGTGTCGTCTAAAAAAAAACGGAAGAAGTATATACTTACATTAGAGAATTGAATGATGCTAAATATATACTTCATTGTTTTTGGTTAGGAAACATTATTTTAAGGGAAGTGTAAAGGATCAATGTTGAATAAAGTATAATATGGTAAGTGGGTACTAATTAAAGGGTTTGAAGAAGACTTAAGTCTGGTAGTGGTAAAATTGAATTATGCACGTGATTGAGCTTAAATTAAAGAATAGTGTGTTTTGTTGTATCAAATATCATTCGTTAGAAATTTTCATAACCAACCACGCTGCTCAAGAAACACTAGCACAAACCAACAATGCAAGGTAGTGTTGTGCTTATAGTCGGGTCATGCTTGATCTATCATCCCTAAAGGTTATATACTTATACTCCGTATATATTATTCGATGTGTGTAGTTGGTTGTAATAATTAAGAATAGATAGACTGTACTACATATAAATTGGGTTTGTCTAATACATAAAAATTATATTATTAGCATAAAATTCAAAGATAATTAAACATTATCAGTTATTTTTAATTGCCACCTATTTAGAAGCTCAATAGAAAAAGTCATTTCGATACAATCCTTCATGCATTAGTATTTGGATTCACTCGTTTTCATTGATTTATTTAAAAAATAATAATGCGCAATATTAGACTTTAAACACTACTCTATTTGGCACAAAAAAGAAATATAATTGATTGTTTGATTATTTATATTGACTTGAATAACGGGTTGACTGTTAGAAGCAACCACATTAGTCTAGTCAAGCTAATATTAGAGGGATCATTGATTATATAATTTAGAATGTATGTATGTTTTAGAGGAGGATTATAAGATATTCAATGGAAGCTCTTAATTAAAAATGTTACGTGGTCCAAATATGTGATTGTCATTGCGTGGCTAATTTGTTTTAGACTTTTAGTACGTTAATTAGCAACGTAGTCCTCAAAAATCATAATTAATTAACATGCAATTTGGAGTTCGTTATACAATAATCATGATGATGCATGCTGACTAATGACGGTACAGTCTTAGGCTAATTAGCTAGTCCATGCCGTCGGTTTGAGGACACTTGCCTCGTGCTTAAGGGACACTTATAATTCAAAATCATTTATCATATTCATGGCCTTAACAGTAGTCTCGTAGAAACAACAATAAATAAACTCGAATAAATAAGGGTCGTCATTGCGCATATTTTAAATTTATTTATTTTTCATGAGAAGCTTCATTGGCTTTTCTTTATTTATTGTTAGCTATTTATATTTGTATTGTACTTGTACTTTCTTCTAGCTGGATTTATTTTTATGAAAGGTTAAAGTGTTTTCAGAATTTCAGATCAACCCAAGTACCATGTTTTCAACTTTCAATTGATCTAATTTTATGTGGGATCAACATAAAATCAATCGAGCTAATTTAGTGTTGGATGAACATTACAAAGCATATATTAGAGATGTTAAAACTAGTCGTTTTACCCAATTCAAATTATAATCTAACTTTAATCTATAGTTAAGGATCCAAATTTTGTTATGCATAGACACAATAATTTAACAGGGCTCAAATATACCTAAACCCAAATAATGACTTGAATCTATACCTTAAAAAAAAATGTTTCGATCTATCTCAATGTCTATTATAAGAATGTCAACTCTTTTTTTTATTTTAAATATTTTTACATTGTTATGAATTGATGATAAAATATATTAGTGGTCAAAGTTGTATGTTGACAACGTAAAAGTCAAAATGATGCAATTATTTCTAAACGAATGAAATATCACACATTTTCACTAATGAGAACATGATACAAATGTAGTACTCTGTATTAAAAATGTGGATAGTCAATCCAGATTTTAAATCTTGTGGATAGCCTTTGGGGTTCCGATCTAAACATGTATGACTATTTTGACTATTGAAGTCTAAAGTTTATAAAACATGTTACAAAATAAAATGAAGTAGATGCTATGTGAACACTTACTAAATTCTTTAGTATATTGTAGTCATGTAGGCCTATTCATCAATCAACAGCATGGTGCATCTTTGTAATTAGCATGCATATATAATAAATTAATAATTGAGTTTGTTAATTTTAGCTAACAAGGTCATATTTGCTATTTCTCGAATTTACAGCATAATCTTGTGATTTTCTCATCGAAAAATTTTGGGTGAGACGAACTCACAATGAGTCCGCCGCCCAAATACGATAACCGTGACTCATCAGAAATCGGAGTATAGAAAGATCGAAGCATACAGAAGGAGGATCGAAAAAGACGATCCAGATGATGATGATGAAGGTGCCGAGAAGAAGACGATTCAGATGATGATGATGAAGGTGCGAAGCATATAAAAGTAGGATCGAATAAGACGATCCAGATGATGATGACGAAGGTGCCGCCATTGACATAGGAAGATCGAAGCATATAGAAGTAGGATCGAAGAAGACGATCCAGATGATGACAATGAAGGTGCCGCGAAGAAGGCGATCCAAATGATGATGATGAAGGTGCCGCCATTGACATACGCATGGTGAGTGATTCTTTGGCCATCGAAAATTCCGCCATTGGTGCAGCACCTTCATCTTGAGGAGAGAGAAAGAGGAGATGCATTTATTGAGTAGAAGGTTGAGGAGAGAAAAAATCAAAGGAGAGTGTGGGAATATAAGCCCTAAAAATATTAATGTCAGGTATTAGATTATTATTATTTGGTATTAGATTATTATTGTCAGATATTAGAATATTATTGTCAGACATATTTGACTCATGGTGAGTCCGATCTCACGCAAAACCTTCTCTTTTCTCATATAATTAATTATATCATATTTAAATTTTGTGAAGCAAACTCAATGAATATTTACCGACCAATTTCACATTTCTTTTTTAAAATTAATTGATAAACGATTGGTAATCCTAAATCACTTAATAATTTTTCAAAATGGATCAAAACCATTAAATCATTTTTATGTTGCAATTTGCAAGCTAGTAACACATCATATTGTGGTGGAAAATGGTGTATAACGGTTATTATGAGTATAGATGGAAGTGCTGAATTCTTATTGGTGAAAATTACATCTAAGAATGATATCTTATGTTGGTTGGAATGGGACAATGTGCCCCCTTATGAGTTATTATTATTGTTGTGATCTCATCTTAAAAAAAAACATAAAAAAAATGGCATGATTTAATTTCTCAACTCCAAGTCTTATTAACACTACACTACAATTTATTACAACAAATTTGCAGATTAAAGTCCCTATCTATCAGTTACCTCCACAATCTCCCACTTATATTCAGCAAAATGTATTTGATAATGTCCCACACCTGTTGCTACCTTACTGTCACATTGCTTACCGTTTATTTTAACATCATATACTACGTAGTATTGTTATAATATGGATAAAGAGAGACTAATTTTGAGGGTGTTATGGGAAAATTACCATTTCGATTTTGATTTTGAAATAGTATTGAATTAGAGGTGTCAAAATTAGATAACGGAAACTGTGGTGGTTTATATTCTACTCCGTATTTATTAGGAAGACGATGACACATGATTTGTGATTTTGTGCAACTTTGAGGGATTTGTAGGTTGTAGTTGATAGATTTCACTAGATTACCTATGAGCATAGTTGGGTTGACAAATAAACTTGAGCTTAAGGAACAGTTACCGTGCATCTATAGAGATTTAACTCAAATAAATCAAAAGAATTGTGATTAAAGATATCATTAGAGATCTCATGTCAAATGAACAATGGTTAATGAAATTAGTTATGTAAATTTGTTTCTTGGTTCAAATTTTTAAACAATTTTTTTTGTTAGGCCAAATGGACCTTAAATTTGATAATGGAATGAATTTTATCAAACCAACAATAATGAGTCTTACAGAGTTAAAGCCGGGTATTAGAAATTGTTGGTAAAGTTGTAAAATCTAAGTTATAAACAACAAAAAAATTATGGGGTAGTTGTTTGATTTTATTGGATCCAAACACTTGTAATGCAGATCCAATACAAACCAAGTAAATGTACAGGATTAGATTTGAGTTAAATCATAGTTAAAAAACTTTGATTTATTTGATTTGAGAAGAATAATACTCAAGTCTATTGCTGTAATTAGTTTATTACTCGTTTAAAATTAGATCACATTAAACTATTTTTATTTTGAAATTTGATTTGAGTTGATATCATAGATCGAATTAGAATTTTTTTTTATTTTTTTTACATCAGCAGGATCGAATTAGATTTCTCAAATTTAATTTCACCACCTTTTTATTTCTCGGAAAAAAATTATAAACCTACCTTGACTACCTAAGTCACATATTAAAAATAAGAAGCTCAAAAAGAACAAAGTTAAAGCATCCACTTAAATTCCAAAGTAAATTCACTCTCACCACCAACATAGTATGTAAAAAGAAAGGAATTTGAACTCTCAGAAGTCAGAACTGGGTAATCTTTGTTTGTATTATTCTCTCTGTAAATAATCATCACTACTAATCTGCTATTTTAATTGTTAATCACCATTACTATAGTCAAACCCATTTCAATTTTTGAACAAAAAAAACCTTCTTTTTTTTATTTCACACTCTTCTCTACAACACACAAACACATTCCAAATTCCAAAAATCCAAAAAATCAATCTCCCTCTCTTACTCCCATTCTCTCTCCTCTGTTTTTCTCTGGGGTTGTAGAACAAGAACAAGAACAAACTCTGTATTTTGTGTATATTTCTGTAATTAGAGAGAGAAAGTGAGATTTTTAGAGAGAGAAATTGAAAGAGAAAGTGACCATTCATTGAAAGAGAGAGAGAAAGAAAGAAGGGGTGTTGTGGGGGTTCACTTTGAGAAAGGAGTAAAGCATAAATCATCAGTGGGTAGTAATAGTAATAGTAATACTAATACTAGTAGTATTTCATTTCATCCCCATTTTTTGTAGGGTTCATTGCCCACTAAAAAATTAATCTAAAACCCCCTATTTTTTTTCTCTCTCTCTTTTTTTTTGAAATTTAACAACCAAAATATTGATTGATAGAGATTTGGATTAGCTGAGATTAAAACTTGACATTAATACTGATTTTTTTAATGGTGGAAATGTTGGGTTCAATTTTGAACTGAATTTGTGACGATCTTTTCTGGGTATTTTAAGATCTTATGGTAAGTTTTTAATTCCCAGAAATCCCTTTTTGATTTTTCTTGTAATTTTGCTATCTGGTTATTTTTCACTTAGTTCAGATTATGGGTTTGATTGGGTTTTAGTAGCTGGAATCAGATCCAGGAGTATCTGAAATTGCAAAGTTTTTTACTGCATTTACCATTATTGATTTCATAATTGGGATCTATTGCTGTTTATATATTGGGTTTTTTACTGTGTTTAAGTACTAGTTGATTGATTTGATTGTCACTTTAGCTTTACATTGAATTCTTCGTTGTACATTTGTAAGTTAAGCTATTGTATATACTTGTTTGGAGTCTACATTAAGTGTTGACTGCAGTATGGACTTGGTACTATATTGGCATTGATTTGGAATTTTGGGGTAGGTTTAATTATTAGTGTTTTGTTAATGTAGCTAAGGTTGTGTTGGAACTTGTCATACAGGTGTGGAGTTTTTTCTATATTAAGCACTGAAAAATCGCGATTGCTTCTTGTATTGTACATACGTATGCTTGTGAGGCGAAGATTGTAGAAGTTGGGAGAGGCACTAGGGTGAGTGGTGTTGTGTTAAAAAGGCGAAGATGACATCAGATGTGCCTCTAGATTATGCTGTATTTCAGTTGTCTCCTAGACGGTCACGGTGAGGATTTACTTTGCTTGGATTTGTGAAATTAGTGGAATGGATTGTGTTTAAATGGCTTACTTCTTTGTTTGCTTGGCAGCTGTGAGCTGTATGTTTCCTATGATGGCACTACGGAGAAGCTCGCATCAGGACTTGTAAAGCCTTATGTTACTCACTTAAAGACTGCAGAAGAGCAGGTTGCATTGGCTGTGAAGTCAATTAAACTTGAGGTGGACAGATATAAAAATGCAGAGACATGGTTTACAAAGGGGACTCTTGAGAGGTTAGCATGTTGCCATCAGGAATACTTTGTGATTAGTAGCTTAAAGTATACTCCTTTTCTTGTTCTATTATTGCCAAGTAAATCTGTTGATATATTGTAACTTACTTCTTCCAGATTTGTGCGATTTGTTGGCACACCCGAGGTTTTGGAAATGGTCAACACATTTGATGCAGAGATGTCCCAGCTAGAAGCAGCTCGCAGAATCTACTCACAGGTATTTTTTTGTTTTTTATTGTCATTCTCATTGCACCATGCTTTGGTTCTATTATGGTTCTATTATCTGATATATAATGTACTGAGTAGCAAAGCTTACATTTCAGGGAGCAGGTGATGATCAATCGAGTGCATCAGGTACACTCATCTGTTTTTGCTTTTTAGAAAGAAAAAAAAAACATTTTGTAGATAGTCCCTTTGGAGAGCAAAACATAATTTAATCTGGGATCCTGATTTGTCATTTTTTCCTTCCTAGTGAGGTCACTATATGCCATCAACTATATTCATGCATCTTCACTTTCTAGTTCCAATCTATGTGAAGGTTAGTAGGGAAGCATTAAAGAGTTTCTTGGGATTTCCCAGGATGAGGTTAAAGCAGTCAATTTTGGGAAAATCTGGCTGTTGTAAATTGTAATTGGTGATTGCTGAACTAGGTGTTTGCTGTTTTAATGTAGCCATTAGAGGTTAGTTTTCAAAATAGTTGTTTAATGTAGGTGTTTGGAAGATCTAGCTGTTGAAGTAGTAAAGTAACTAGAAGAAGAATACTTGAAAGCTAATTATGGTAGCTTTTGCAAAATTCTTTAAAAGCTGATTTCATTAGCTATTACAAATCATTACAATAAATAATATAAATTAATGCTTACTACTGCATTTCCGAACAGTAATATTTGGATTTAGTCAAATAACCAAGCTGCTTGGATACAGAACCTATTTCCCAACAGGCAATGGGCAGCTTTATTGTTTGGGAGACCTATTATGGAGATTTGGATCTGTATCTAAAATCTGGGGCTTAATATGCTATCACGTAACTTGTTTTAGGGTGATTACAAAGTTAAGATAAACTTTGGAAATTGGATGTTATTCAATGGGTCCTAGAGCAGAAGAGATATGCTAGAATTCAGCTAATAGTGTTTGGACCTGTTGTTATAGAACGATTGTGCAGAGAAAATACTATATGATATGCCGAAGTGAATTCTCTTGTCTAGGTCCTTGAGCTGGAAGATGGTTGTTTAGCCATTACTCCGTATTATACTCCTGAGCTTATCAGGTACAAATCATCTTGCAAAATACTGGGTTAAGACTCTTTAAGGAATACACATTGAACTAAGGACCAAGGGCTTGAATTTTTTAATTTGAGATAGCTTGGGTACTATTGATTTATAATATTTGCAATTTCTGGCCCATTTATTTTGGAGATTTTTGTAATTGTACTGTGTGATTCCCAATGGCCTCCAAAAGTTTAAGATTGTCCTAGGAGTTAATAGGTAAATGATGATGTCTGTGCTTCTCAGACTCTCAGTACAGCTTCAAGGTCATACAATATTCTCTAAAAAGGCTCTCATTATGACAGAGTAAAAGGTGTTGGATACTTGGATGTAAACAATCTTATCTTTGAAATAGTAAAGAAGTGAAAACAGACTAATAAGCTATTGGACGTTTGTGCTCATATTTTATAAGATAAATAGTGCTCTCTTATGATTTATAGTTCCCATGGAATCACTGAGATGCCTCTCCGAGGACATTGCTACTCTAAATTGAGGCATTTAGGAGGTTTAATGTACCTGATGCTTTGTTCTACATCTGAGAATTGATCAAAATTCCCTTGATAGGAAGTTATCTGGGACATTTAATATACCCAGCTTCTTCTTCTGTAGCATTTAATGTTGTATCAGGAAAATTGGATCCAAGTGCCTGTGTGACTTTTTATTTTTGGTGGTTATTCGTGAGCATATATGTTGTTAAGGAAATTTAAGATAGCTTACGTTGTCAATTTATTGAATCACAACTATCAATGCTTTTGGGGATACTTTGCTTTGAATATCTTTAGCGCACTTTGAGTTGGACTAGTAAACTAATGATGGTCATTGAATCCGTTGAAACCAAGCCTTTGGTACCAGCTGTATCACTATATACTTGATTCGCCAAATGTTTGCCTGTAAAACTTAAGAAATGGCTAAGTGACAAAAGACACTCGGTGTGTTTTTGCATCTTTTCCAGTAATTATCTATTTATGGATGTTTCTGCTTACATCTGCTTCAATTTTTCTTTGAATTTAGATGTCATTAGAAATTGCAATGGGTTGTACTCGTTTTAGTAAGTTTCGTACTATAGAATAATTACTAGTAGCGCTTCTGTGAAGCAACACCACCTTTCATGTCTGCATAAACTTTGTTTTGGAGCCTTTTATTTGGGGGTGTTGGGGGTGGGAGTCCGTACTGAGGTCTCAAAATAGCTTCTGAAAGATAGATGTCCAGACCAAAATTATGAATGGTAAAGTTCGAACTCTTGTCTAGCTACAGTCTTTACACATTTTAATGGTTTTGACTCCCTCCGAAACAAAGGTCTCCATCTCCGTTAGACTTAGTGTGGGCAAGACTACATTTTCCAAAAATCTTGAAGTTGCATGAAGTCAACATATATCCTAAACAAGATTGGTAACTATTGAGAATTGAAGGTAACCAAGACAGTTTATACAATGTAACATTACTTTCTAGGATCTCAATCTTGTTAGCTCAATTTGTGTGTTTTCTTAGTTATTGGTTACTACTTACTACTACCTCAATCAATTAATTGATGACTGGTCCTTTATTTTATATATATTTTTTTCCCCTTCCCATATAAGTGGCGTTTTGGTAATTTAGAGGTAGTCCTACTCCAATAATTACTTGAGCTAATAAGTTGTTCCATTAAGGCTCCGTTTGGTTCAAGTGTTCAACCAAAGGTATTAGGTATGGGCTTTAATATCAAACTAGATGATACCAAGGACCAAATGCCATATTCCATGTGTTTAGTTGCTAAAAATTAATCTCACCTTACTCATTAGTTTCTCTCTCCTGGTCTCGTCAGTTCTCACCTCCACCCCCCCCCTCCCCCCTCTCAACACTCATATTTGCATAACTCAAAATTTTAAATTCCTCAGTTGCTTTCTTTCATGTATTTTCCTTTTTCTTCCTGCTTCTGGCTGTTCTGATCTGTGTTGTCATCCCCTACCACTGTGCTACCTTTGCAGAGGTGTGCATAATTCTACTAATATTAATCAGCACCAACCGAACCTAATTTGGACAAACCTTGCAGGTTTAGTTTGTTATGCACCAAAGATATTTGAGTCAGCTTGTTTTTGCCTCATTTGTAATTTTACACTTGCTACAGTACAAGCTGTCAATTTTTACTCATCTTGGTTACTTCTCTCACTTGGTGTGTTGTTATGGAGATAAATTCCTCCAGCAGTTGTGTTGTTATGGAGATAATTTTTAGTATCTTTGTAGCAGTTGAAAAAGTGGTTTCAAATATTAGTTTATCTACTGGAATTTTTTCTTTGTGCTGAGGTGGACAGGACTTTTGATGCCATTTAATGGGGTTAGATGGTTCATTCGTTGGAGGCCTGTAAGTCTAAATTTTTTAAGGCTATACCATTGAAATGTAAAAGTCAATAGGTCAAGATTTTCTGGGGGATCGAACAATGGATATTAATTATGTTGCTAGTTTTGCCCGATCTGAGAATCTGACTTATGTATGTAAAAATATTCATAACTTGGGAAGTTGGGATTCAAAGTTTGGAGTTAGACCTAACCAATCCTTAAATGCTAGTGAATCAGTAATTATTAAAAAAAAATAATGCTGTAATTATTATTTTTTATTTTTTTATTTGTTGTTGTTGTTGTTGTTAAGAGTATGGGAACTTTGTGATATGTTTGTTGGTATGATTCAGCTAGTTTCAATTTATATTCCTTGCGCACTTTCATTTCTTTTCATGTGGTTGCTAATTCTTTTGTACATTTCTATGGTAAACCACTTCTGTGATCATTATTTTATTGAAGCAACTAACTGCAGTGCTCTTGCGGCTCAGAAATTTGATTGTTCATTAGTATATCCTCTATTTGTTGTTACTGGAATTGTTTCCGTGATAGAATACGATTGGCAAATTTCTCTAATAACTGGATTTTCTGATGTACCAGGTGGGGATGGAACTGGAGCTTCTGCGGCATCCAATGCCACAAAGTAAAATTTCTATTTGGTTTGCTTCTTTCTGTGGATGTTGAGTACAATCTCTGTGAAATTACATAGCCTTCTTGATCCACACATTTGAGTTTTCGCTCTTTCTGAGAACCTGCTGTCCTAGGTGATAGAAAAATGGATAGTGGAAAATGTTGGATTATAATTTCATTTCAGGCTTCTTGATCTGACTGCAAACACTGGTATGATAGGATGTATAAGTTGGGTAATTGCTAGAGGTTACTAGGTCTTTCATGCTTGAAGATGATGCTATGGAAAGGAAGGGTCTTGCTTTCTCCCCCTCCCTTTATTTAATGTAATGATTTTGTTCTTTCTGATTTCTCAGGAAGGAGCTACTGAGAGCCATTGATGTGCGGCTTGCAGCAGTTAAGGAAGACTTGACTACAGCTTGCTCCCGTGCTTCTGCTGCTGGTTTCAATCCTGTAACGATATCAGGATTACAGCATTTTGCAGATCGCTTTGGCGCTCATCGCCTCAGGTAATTGTATGTTAAAGCACCCGGATTCAGTTTGTTTGCATCTTTTCCAAACCACTATAATATACAAAGTAAGTGTGAAGGAAAGAGTATGGGGAAAGATGAAAGAAAAAAAATTACAGGACACAAGTGACAACTCTGGAATTTGGACTAATCCTGTTAAAAGAGACAGGTGTAAAACTCAAAAAATGCATTCATGGAGAATAAGAACTAATTTCTGGTTCATCCTGTTTGGTTTTTTTTTATAGGAAATTAAGGAAATTCTAGTGGGTGGACAGAAGATACTCATTTTTTTCCCCACCATGTGTAGACATAAACTACAATAACTCAATAGGTCTATAATAAAAAAAAAAAAAATGTACGGCATTTGAAGGATTCTACAGTTTTTTAAGCTTCATACACTCATTGTCATTAATGGAAATTAATATTGTTTTACCAATATATAAAGGAATCGATAGAGTAAAATATTACAGGGGCAATTCTAGGTATTTCTATTGTGCTCATCCTACATTACAAAATTGTAAATTTAACATTAGCAGATATTCCTGATACTTTAATGTAAATGTATATATTATTACATCTGGGTAGTAATAGAATATTCTCATTCTGCATGTGGTCTATTCAATACACATGTACTTCATTCCCTGCAAAGTGTGACATTTGACCTCTATAATTAGTTGAGTAATTTGTTTGACAAAACCACATTTTCATGCAGTGAAGCTTGCAGCAAATTCATCACCCTTTCTCAGCGACGTGCTGACCTCTTCATCAACAGCCAACCACCGACAACATGGAAGTCCTCCGAACTTGCCCTGCGCTCCTCCTGCAGCTCCGATATGTCCCTTGATGAACCCTCTGATGACCAGCCTAAGCCCTCCCCCGTTCCCACCACCACCAAGGTCACCTTCCCTTTACGCCGCTTTTCTAGGGAGCCCAGTCCTAGCTCTGTTGATGATGGAGAGGAAAGAGAAAGTGCCAAAGCCATAGAAAAGGACATAGAAAAAGACAAAACTGCGGTCCCCACCACTTCTACTTGTAACTCAACGACTGAGTCAGAACAATCTCCCTCCACGTCAACTCAGACACCTCAGCTCACCAGACGGCTCAGCGTGCAAGAAAGAATAAGTATGTTTGAGACCAAGGCTCAGAAGGATATTTCCCCCTCCCCTACTACTGTTGTTTCTGGTGGGGGAAAACCTGAGCTCCGTCGACTGTCATCCGACGTTACTTCTTCAACTGACAAGGCTGTTTTACGGAGATGGAGTGGTGCGAGTGACATGAGTATTGATGTTAGTGGGGAGAGGAAGGAGCCTGACAGCAATGCCAACACTCCTACACCCACGTCCACTTCTATACCCCATCCCGTTTTCCTTCCAAAATCTAAGGATCAGAGTGATTTAAAGGCGGAGGACGTTAAGGAATCTAAGGTGCTGGTGAGACCGAAATTTGGTTCCCAATCGGCTGTTTTATCTGGTGGTGGTTCTGGTTTGGAGGAGTCTCCGGCATCTGAGGCAAATTCTAAAATCGCATCTTTCTCAGGGAGATCATCAGAGAGTTTGGGATTGAAGGATGAACAAAGTGGTGGGGTGGTCCGTTCAACTGTGATGCCTTTTGGCAAGTGTGAGGAATTCAGGTTAGAGAATCAGCCATCCTCTATTCAGACTCAGATTAGATCTCGGCCTGGGAAAACAGAGCAGTTGGATTCCTGTGATCAGATAGCCACAGAGGAGAAGGTAAAGAGCTCTCTGGGTGGTGGAAGCAAACCACAGGAGGATACAGGGAAGAATTTTGGTGCATCTGCATTTGCCATGGATGGAAATTCTGGTGGTGTACAATGTGACATTGAGGATGAGCAGATGAGGGATCAGCAGGTTCGCAGATCAACTTACCGGACATCTCGTAGGAGAACAGTTGACGTTGCATCGGAATCAGCAGCGTCTGAAACTTATTCTCAGGCTGTTACTCAGAACAAAGGAGGTGAGGCTTATTCCATGCCTGCTGATCCTAGGTGGAGATATGTAGGGGGAGAAGTTGATAAGGCTGGAAGGAAAGATTCTGGGTCATTTGAGAAGCAGGCCGACAGTTTATTAATACAAATGGAAAATTCTGCTTCGTACAGAGGAAAATTTCAAGGGCATGGTTCTTTTGATCAAATGAAGAAACCTGGGGCTAGATGGGAAGAGAGTGGTGCTGGAATCCAGCAGGATTCAGCTGGGAGAAATGTATTTGAGAATAAGGAAGTTTCTTCCTCAACATCTTCATTCTCTGTGGATCAAGTTCAGAGGGTAAGACAGCCAAAAGTTAATCTGGGGGTGAATGATGATCTGAAATTGAAGGCAAACGAGCTTGAGAAATTGTTTGCTGAGCACCAACTTCGTGCTCCTGTTGATCAATCAAATTCTGCTCGGAGAACCAGGCCTGTTGATATGTTCATGGAGCAGGAAATAACTTCTGTCAATAAGAAACCTGTGATAGAGGCTTCTCCTGCCCAGATTACTACCATGAAGTTCGAGGGTGAGCCTGCAGCAGGTTCTGGTAGTAAAGAGAGGAACAATTCTACTCCAATGACGAAATTTGTTGGTAATCAGGAATATGATGTCACACCAAAGCAAAACATTTACAGCCTTAGCTTTACAGATGATTCTAGAGGAAAATTGTATCAGAAGTATATGCAGAAGAGGGATGCCAAATTACGGGATGACTGGAGTTCAAAAAGAACTGAAAAGGAATCTAAGATGAAGGCAATGCAGGATAGCCTTGAGAAAAGTAGAGCTGAGATGAAGGTCAAGCTGGCAGGATCTGCAAACAAGAGAAATTCTGTTAATGATGTTCGTCGGCGGTCAGAGAAAGTGAGATCATATAATTCCCGATCAGCATTGAAGAGAGAGCAGGTATGCATCACTCTTGCTGAAAGTCCATTTTAAAAAAAATTACCTAAAATCGCTGTCAAGGGACTCCTAATTTATGATTTTTCAAATTTCAACCATTATTTTTTCCTCGTCTTGATCAGCCTATTGACTCTCTCTTGAGTGATGGGGATGAAGATCAAGCTGAATTTGTTGGAAAAAAGCTCAGTGAGACATATTTGGGAGATGCCTCTTCTAGAAGTGCACAAAACAGAAAGGTTGTACCCAGCAAAAGTATAGCATCCTCTACACCTCGTAACTCTGCAGCACCTATTCCTAGGTCTTCTGGGAAAGCTTCTAATTCTGCTGCAGGGAGAAGAAGGATGCCTTATGATAACCCTCTTGCACAGTCGGTTCCTAATTTCTCTGATTTACGAAAAGAAAACACAAAGCCATCACCTGCAGGAAGTAAACTAGTCCGTCCTCAAGGAAGAAACCATGCTCGCAAAAAGAGTGTTAGTGAAGATTTGCCACTTGTTAATGAAGAAAAGCCACGACGACTTCACTCTTTGAGAAAGAGCACAGCTAATCCCATGGAATTGAATGATTCCCGTAATTCTGATGATCTTGATGATGCTGTCTTCACACCATCAAAACATGGTAAAGAGGAGAATGAGGTTTATCTTAATTTCTCAAAGGATATAGAATCAAAGGCTTTTCCAAGAAAAGGTAACGGTGTTGGACATATATCTGGTGTGGGTAGAGCAAAAGCTTCAATGATGGTTGAGGCATTGGGAAATGGGCATGATTTTGATGAAGAGAGTTTTGAAACGGAAGAGATGACAGATGTAGCCAAAGACGAAGAGGATGATTTTGAAACCACAGTAGGTGGAGAATCGGCTGACATGGACAACAGTAAAGGAAGATTGAGCCAGGAGTCTGACAAGTCAGCAATTTCTGGGTATGGAAACAGCAATGCTCTTGGAATGGAAGGCCCTGCTTCTGTCACTGAATTACCTACTTCCATGTCTTCTCTTTTTCGTTCCATGGGATCCATTCAAGACTCACCAGGAGGAAGTCCTGGGTCTTGGAATTCACGTGTGCATAACCCTTTTTCCTTTTCACATGAAATCTCAGACATTGATGCGTCTGACTCACCAGTTGGGAGCCCTGCGTCTTGGAACTTCCACTCTCTAACACAGACAGATGCCGAAGCTGCTAGAATGAGAAAAAAGTGGGGAGCTACCCAGAAACCTATTGTTGGTGACTCATCACCTAGCTTGTCACGCAAGGACATGACTAAAGGTTTAAAGAGATTCTTGAAATTTGGAAGGAAGAACCGTGCAACTGAGAGTCTGGCAGACTGGATCTCCGCAACCACATCAGAAGGGGATGATGATACTGAAGATGGAAGAGATCTTACTAATCGGTCATCAGAAGATTTGAGAAAGTCAAGAATGGGATTTTCACATAGTCATAATTCTGACGAGGGATTCAATGATAATGACCTGTTCAATGACCAAGGTGAATTGTGTTTCTCTTTCACTATTGTCCTGTGAAATTGAAAATTAATAATCATTTTACAACTCAGATTTTCCTATCAGTCCTTTCTATGATATGATGTTTACATCTGCTCCTCTTGCTGAATTATTGCAAATACCTTTCAAAATCTCTGAACCTAAAGTTCTGAATTTTGTGATGTGTTGCCTATTGTTTCTAGTTTTCTATAGGATTAGAATTCTGCTACTGTGCTATAAGCCTATAAATCTATTACCCTCCTCCCCTGTAACCTGTAAGATTTGCCCATATACCAAAAATAAATAACCTAATAAGTTTGTACCATTCCCTTTTTTTGTATATATTCACAACTTGATAACCCATTTGCAACCACAAAAAAAAGACCAAAATAGAACCCCACACGCTCTCAAATGAACCAACTCTTAAGTGAATTAAAGGGTATGGAGCAATCTTAGTGGGATGGAGGGAGTATATCTTTATTTGCTGAGCTTCTTTTATCGTTATGTGAAGAACTTTGAAATTTACTCAGATTTAAATTTGATATTTTTGATTGCCATAATTTGTTTTTTTTAGATATGTGTGTCTGTTCTTTTCTCCTGCTTTCCGATTTTGTATTGACATGTTTCCTGTTTTGTTCGATTTTATGATATTAACAAAATAATATTGCAAATTCAAGGTATAACTGGGAATGTCTGTTTTATCGCAGTTCAAACATTACAAGGTTCAATCCCAACTCCACCAGCAAATTTCAAATTTAGGGATGAACATCTTTCTGGAAGTTCTCTGAAAGGTTCATTCTTTGATCTGCTATACTCATATATTGTTGGTTTTAGTTTTTATTTTCAGCTCATTAAATGTACTCTCACGAGTAGACTCACTCAAATTATTTGCCGTTATCACACCCCTTTATTGAGAGAGATTCTGTTCATCTTGCCGTGGTGCCAGTGCTTCTTAAAAAACCTGGTTTAGTTTCGTGTGCTATTCTTTCTTCTGAGATTGCAGATCTTTGATACCTTAGGATCAGAATCTTTTCTCCTCACAGTATTAGTTTTTTATTCTTGTTTGTTGGGGTTGGTTGTAAAGGTGAGAATCGGGAAATGTCGTGTGGCATCACTTGTGAGGTAGTTCAGCAAATTAATTTGAGAACCTGACTATACTAATTGCTTTTGGTAAAGCTACAAGACCTTATAACAGTAGAGCTACTTCAGAAGAGAATTGAAACGAGCATGACAATGTTCTTATGCAATCTTCAGAAGAGAATTGAAACAAGCATGACAATGTTCTTATGCAATCTTTTCTTAATGAATGACGTAGGTTTAATCATCCACTTAGTGTTTGTATGTTAAGCTTAGAAATAAGCTCATCAATAATGCCTTAGAGCAGATTCATTTTGTTCAAACTAATTTAAAGCATGCAATTCAATTCTTATCAAACTTGACATATTTTATTTTCCAGCATGAAATGATAGAAAACCAAGAGTGATCACCATGCACCAAGATGGCTTATAGCTTGTGTACTCTCGTGTGCTGTATAAACTAGAAATCTTAGTACATTTTTCCCCCTCTCAACAATCTTCAAATTCTTATTAATCTGTATTTAGCAAATTAGCATGTTATGTATTTAATGTCCTAGGCAGTTAGGAACAACACTACATCATGGATATTGAGATCACAATCCTCTCAAATTTGATCCCTCTTCTGAGAACTTCAGTTTTGGCTCTATATTGACTTCATTAACAGTAGTATTACTCTGTTATTCGGATTCAAGTAATCATGTATGAGTCCAAGTGTCTGTCCTGGCTATTGTTTTAAAAATATCATTGATTTTAGTCCGAATTAAAGAGTCTGTCTGTAGTCATGTTAAAGTGTTGAGAATCCAACACATGTACTTGTTTCGAAATGAACAGTTCAATATCATAGGTCTTTTTAATAATTTGTGATGTCAATACTATTGTTGGAAGAATGGGGTATTTGTTTTTTGCTTGGTTTTTTATACTTTGCGTTTTTACTATAGCCCCTGATTTCTGCTCTGGTTGAGCCGCATGTAGTTGCAAAATATAACGCAATTGCTCTTGCTTTTGTTTTTTCAGCCCCCAAGTCATTCTTCTCACTTTCAAATTTCCGGAGCAAGGGAAATGACTCAAAGCCCAGATAACATTTAAGGTACAGCATATACCATACTGGAAGATTGTTGCGATGCTCAGAACCATCTCAAGAGAATGTGATGTTAAGGATGGGAAGCATAGAACATACTCGGGAACTCTTGAGGTAAAAAGCAGGTACAGCACCATAAATCAGCATCTATTGTTGCTTTGATACTACTGAGATGTAGTTGGTTTCAAGATATGTTGTATATTTGTAATGGTTGAACAGTTGCCAATTGGCGGAATGATACTGTGATTTTTGGTAGTGCCACAGCATTCTTTCTTCTTCCTTTGCAGATGTCTTGTGTATTACACCTATCTACCCAAATTTTACTGCATCTATTCATGGGATTAAAGTCCTGGAATAATAGTAGAGGGAAGAGATTTTTGCACTGCCGAAGTTGATATTTACAATCATTCTTGTGAGAGGAGCATTGCAAAATGCATTCTTGAGGGTTGGGAGTGTAAAGATCAACTTTTGAAGTGTAAAAATTCTAAACCCTTTTCTTTTTAAGCTCTCCTAAAGTTTGGGTTAGCTTTGATCAACTCAATGTCAGTTTTATTTCTTATTGAATGGTTGTACTATATCATACTTGGTCCAAAGTAATACTAAATCATACTTGATTTTTGTGGTTAAAATCATGCAGTTGTCGAGTTCTACCATTAAAAATTCGTAGTAGAAGTCATGAAAGCGAAGCGATAATCTTGTGAAATAATTTGAGAAATACAAAAAATTACAAGAGTGACCATCTTACGAAAATAATTTATACATCAAAGTTGAATATATGTAAGTTATTAAATCAATTGTTTTCGTATCTTGAGAGAAAGAGTTTTAAAAAGCATGGGAAAAAAGGGATAAACGCCCACCGTGGGGCTCGAACCCACGACCACAAGGTTAAGAGCCTTGCGCTCTACCAACTGAGCTAGACGGGCTTGTTGTTTAGCTTATTTGTGTTTTTCGTCAGAAAATTGTAAATTAATACAATAATTTTTTTTTGAGGAAATCAATGCAGTAATTAGAATAACTCGTAAGATTTAAGAAAAATGGTGCTTGCCTTGGAGGACCTGAAGCTTATAGTTTTTTTATTTTTCATTTTTATATAATATATTACTCTAACAAAATTATTCTGGTTCTAAGAAGTTTATTCAAATATAACAAGTTTAGTTTTAAATTAATTTTATACATTCGAATAAAAAGTGAACTTAATATTATTTTAAGCTTATTTTGATGATTATTGCTTATTTAATCAACATTTATTAAAGAAACAAATATATATAACTTATGTTGCACCCGGGTGTATACACTAAGAATTTTAATAATTTATAGCTGTCAAATTACAACTTCACGTATTAAAGCAAGACCGATATATTATGAGAAATATTCAAATCAAATTACTCCCTATTTTCCGCTGTATTGTACCAAACTAAATGAAAAAAGCTAAGAAAACTAAGACAATTGTTTTAAAAGTAGTGAAAATTAAAGTAAGAATATGATCCTTTACTTCAAATGTAGTCAAATGGTGTCCAATAATCCAGCATATCAACAATGTACAGTACTTGAATTCAGCAGGGTTTTTTGGTTGATTATGTATTGTGATAAAGTATTCTGCAACGTAATCTAAATCATGAGTGGAAAACATGTTTATAAGCTAATAATAGAATAATTTGACCTAGTACTTTTTCTTTTATTTATTATATTTAATTCTAATTAAAATAATAGACCTTTTCAAACATTCTCCATGTATGTTAATGTGTCACACGTTTGATACATTCTTACATTAAAGTTAGACTTTATCTTTATATGCTTGCATGATCTTTCACCTACATTTTATATTTTTGGATAAGTGTTTATTTTAAGATTTAACATCCCTTTCTTTCATAATAAAGTAACTAATAAAAATCATTTTTTTTTTTTTTTTTTTTTTGACATATTACCTTTTACTATAAGTTCATTTGCTCTTCCTGAAAAGAGAATTTTACCTGAAAGGACCCATATCAAATTAGAATTTAGTAATCTTTTTATATAATTTCATACTCTTAATAATAATAATAATAATAATAATAATAATAATAATAATAATAATAATAATAATAATAATAATAATAAAGTGGGTCCAAAATAATTGTAATAATATGTGACATGGTCCCTTGTATTATAATTGGTTTCATGAGGAATAAAGAATAGTGTATGTTTAATTGGTTCTTCAATTCATGACTTGAAAACTAAGAGAGGTAGATAGTTACGTGCCTGGCATGCAAAGCTAACTAAAAAGAAAAAAAAGACTTCTTCTTCATCATCAATTTCCTTACAACAGAAACAATCTTCTTCATTTTTACACTAATTCAACCTACATAAATATTTTTGATGTTTTTTTTTGGATGCTGTTCCTTGTTTGATTGATTGTTCATCCGAATTTGTCCTACTTCTTTCCCTTGATTCTGCTTTACATTCCAGGTAATTTTAACTTTCGGTGATTTATCTTTGTACAATTTTTATTATCTGTTGATTTATGTGTTCTTGTTTCTATAATTTTTATAAACTTTTTTGTTACTAGTGTTAAACCGTTGTTATTGTTGGTCTAATGTTTGTAAGAATCGCGTACATAACTCTAGGAACCCTTTAACTTCTATATTCCTGATGTTAATCTATAAATGGCTGTATATATTGTTATGGCTAAGTTGACAAACTGAAAGAATTTAAAGACCAACCTTAAAATTTGTAATACCATTGACTCTCACCTAGGCCTGTCTAATTAGATCGTCTTGATTATAATTTTGTGTATCCGAGTTTCATATAAGTCGCTTATTGGGTCATAACACTTTCTAGTTGTTTTTTATTGGGTGATTTCAGGTCCAAAAATCGCGTTTATGACCCTAACACTTTGGGCGAATTTGGACAAGTACTTGCCAAACGAAAAGAGCAAAACTAGATAAAAACTGATCTGATTTCAATCAAGCTTTGTAAGTACATCAAAACAGTGCATACAGAGCAGAGTTGAAGGCCATCAGAATGGCATCCCTAATACCTGGGGTGCTACTCAAGCTACTTCAGAGCATAGATTCGAAAGTAAAAGTTCGAGGGGAGTATCGATCAGTCCTCTTACAAGTGATCAGCATTGTTCCGGCCTTAAGTGGAGGAGAGTTATGGCCTGATCACGGCTTCTTTCTTAAGGTTTCCGACTCTTCACACTCCACGTACGTGTCCTTGTCCAAGGAAGATGTCGAGCTCATCCTGAACAACAAATTGCAATTAGGCCAATTTTTTTATGTTGATCGCTTAGAGGCTGGTACTCCGGTCCCTACTGTAGTCGGAATCAGGCCTCTCCCTGGCAGAAATCCTTTTATTGGAAATCCTAAGGACCTGATGCAGATTTTAGACCCGTCAGAAGGTCCTGTTCGTGTTGATTCTCGTAGCTTTAGCAATGGAAATATGGCTAGCAAGACACCAGAGAAGAAGGTTAGGAGCTCGAGCCTACATAAGTTTGTGATTAAAGAAGAGAAGTCTGTGGTTTCATCGCGTTATATGGAGGGCGTGATATCAACTCATCATAGAATTAGTAGCAGTGATTCTATCAGTATGAAGAGCAGTGATACTGAAAGTATTGGAGGTGGTAAGACTGTGGTCTCGAAATCTAAGCTACATGAGCCTAAAGGTCAGGTATGAACTTCAATTTCATATTGGAAAATTTTGAGTTTAATTGACTTGCTAAATGTCTAAAAATTAACAAGTGTCCTGAAAAATTCGTTTGAGGCGAATGTTGCTTGTCATATGATACTAAGGCTTCGTTCTTTTCACCTTTAAAAAATAAGTTCAAATACAGGTTAATAAATTCAGTCACGGGCTTGTTTAGGTAAAAAGAACAATCTTTAAAAATACTGTTTTATAAACTATTATGCTGATATTTGATGGTTATTGTAGTGGCAGAGTCTCCCTGCTACTCCTTGTAATAGTCGACCAGTCACTCCCTCACGAGCTCGTCCCACGACACCTTCCCGTCTACGTCCTGCAGTTCCCTCTCATCCTCGTCCAATGACTCCTACTCGGACACGTCCAGAGACTCTTGAAGTGAAGGTTGATTCTGCTAGACAGACCTCACAGTCTCAATCTCTTAAGGTTGCCCCTAGAAAAAGCGTTACCAAACAAGAAAAGGTCAATTTAAATTACTCGACGAATGGAAAGGACAAGACTCAAACTTCAGACCAGCAGACATCCCCCTGGAATGCTCTTCCTGCCAGCCTTTTGAAGCCAGGAAAGGTACTCATTTTTGTTGAATGTTTCCTCATTTCTTTAGTATGATTAAAAAATATCGAGGTTTTTTTATTTTATTTTATTTTTCTTGCATAATAGCTTCTCAAATTTTTGTTTGGTTGTTTAATATTTATAATTAAGGTCATGCTTAGGAGAAAAGACTTAGCATCCATAATTGCAGCAGAAGCTCAGAAAGAAGCGACAGCAGCTGCAATTCTTGTCAAGTGTATAGAGTAAGTTGATCATAATTTACCAGTACTTCAACATTTAGCATTAGTTTTGTTCCTGCAGTTCAAATGAACACTCATTCTTTTTCACTCAGCATGTTTGCTGATCTATGTTCCTCTGCTTCACCTTCAAATCCTCACGTATCCCTTGAAAAGTTCTTCGCGCTACAACAAGTAATTGATCAACCAGGCTCTTCAAAGGATAAACTCCTGATATTACAAAACAATTCGCCATCACAGGGAAATGATAAGCCTAGCACAGCACCATCATTTTCCCATAATGAGAAAAACAACATGAAATCATTAAAGCCGGCACCTGAATTAAGCTTGAGTGATAAGTTCGAATGGTCTAAAGGGCACGGAATGAGTGACATAAATGAGGCTAAAGACATGTTACTGAAAGAATCGCGATCATGGTTCTTGAAGTTCTTGGATGCAGCACTAGATAGTGGTTTTCGAGTGGAGAAGAAAAACATTAAACATAGCATTGGGAGGAGATCATTAGAACCTAATAATCATATTGCAGTGACATTGTCACAACTTAAGCAAGCCAATGAATGGTTGGACAAATTGAAAGGAAGCACGAGTAATGCTGCACATAATGATGATGGTGTTTCAGAAAGAATTGATAAGCTTAAGAAGAAAGTTTACGCGTGCTTGCTTGTACATATAGACTCTGCTGCATCAGCACTCGACAACAGATCAGATCGTAAATGACTCTAATACAAGATCAAGATTTGTAAATTACACTAGTTTTGGTAATTTGTTTCATTTAATTTATCTAATTTATGATATTAATTTATGCTAAATTCAATCTGTTTCCTTGGGGAATATACACACATACACTAAGCCTGGGAAATGCCCCATTTCTGATGCTGGAAATTCTGTAAATTATTTATTTATTGGTAATACAAAGATGGCCAGTTGAAGGCTATTCTATCATGTCCATTTCAATGAAATATTCCGGTTAATTAAGCACCAATGAAATACGTTCATTTTCACTTAAACTAACTAGTACGAGTAATTTATTACTAATTGAAAATGTTAATCAAAATTGAATTATTCCGATCAACTAGTGTTTATGTAGTATGTAAAAAACATTTTTTAATGATTAAAACTGATTTTTACTGATCTAAACTGATTACTTCTAAACGTGTCACAATCTAGACCTTAAAATAAGAGAGGAAGTAATAACTTCATAATCAAACCTGTAAAATCAGGACAACTATAAAACTTTATAATGTTGAAATTAGCTGACCAAGAATGCAACATAATGGACGGCAAGTTAAAGACAAAAAATGTTCAGCACGTTCACGACATGCATGTTGTAAACCTTACTACCAATTCCTAGTTCTCCCCACTTCTTTCGTTCAAACTGCGAAGCATCATCAAATGAATGCAGAGCTGCTGGTTTCGACACCTTTCCACGTCAAAGGAGTGGCCTTAACTTGAAGGTTATGAAGGGCAAGTTACCAAGATGGAGAGACAGGACACAAGCCTACATATACAACACTACCTTCATCCATCCGGATTTACTTGTCACATTACTAGTTCACATTATAGTATCCACGTAATGCTTAATTCCGGACCAACGGAGTACTTAGTATATATCAAGCATGTGCCCTGCTTCTCCAGCATGGCTAACTTACCCTCTTTGGAGCTAGATTGCCTTCTTTTCTTCAGCTTTTTGTAACATAAACTTTTATAGATTTGGAAGAGGAAAAGAATATTTGATGAGAAGAGAAGAGTTTTTGCATGAAATTATGTGTATATTTTATATGTAGTATTATGATAGTAACACGAATAAAATATTAAAAATTTGGTAAGAGTTTGTAACAAAAAATAAATACTAATAATGTTAGTTTACTTGTTGACATGATTAATGTAAATTAGACGACGGTGTTTGATAGTGATGCTTAATTAATTGATGATGGGTATTTGTTGGGTTCGACTTAGGTGAGTGTTTAATTTGTTTAGTTGTTTTTAAGTTGGAGCTACCAATTAATTAAGGAAATTTTTTGGTGTAATTTGTAATTACTGTTGAAGTTTGGCTGCCAATGCAAAGACTAGGCTTTTTCATTAACAGTTGTCAAGATATGTACAAAAAACTATGAAGAAGCAAATAATAGTATGATCTTGTCATATAAAAATAGCATAGAAAATTCAAGCATTTTTTTATGATGTATAAAAAATAATTTCACACACAATTTTAAAGACGTACATGGAGCATAAAACAAGACATAAAATTCAGTTTACTTGTTGTATCGAAGAATTGTCATTGTTTCTCCTTGTGAGAGTATTTTGATTATGTATGATTAACTATATCGATCATATATTGATAGTATTATTCCATTTCTCTGAATTGTGAAACAACTATGAAATACAAACAATAATTTCACTGTGTTACATTAGACTGATGTATTAAACTGGTGTGTTTGTAGCTAGCCAAAACAGGAATACTTTGCTCGAACCTAAAGAAGTTGCCGGGATCAACCTTAGCCTTTACTCTCAACAATCGCCGGAGGTTTCCTTTAAAGTATGCAGTAGCAAAAGCTAAGCTATTGTTTGCATTATATCCAATATCAATATCCCTGTAGTTTAGAAAGGCCTCCCTCGGGTTTTTCGATACATATGGAGTCATAAACCTGTAAACCTCATTCGTTGCTTCAATATATCGACGAGTTATCTCCCTTGAGTTATGTTTCCAGGAAGAAAGGTATTGAATCTTGAAGAGGTTTCCTTTCCTGTGAGGGAAGGGTGTCGCGGTCTCTGAAATTTGGCTCATTTTACCACCGTAAGGATTTATTTGCAATTTTAGATGCTCTACTTCAACTATCTTTTCCCATAATTTATCTAATCCAACCTTAGGAATTGGCTCTTTTACATAATCCGACTTGTGCTTATCATACGTCAAACCGCCTGGTGGAGCTCGATCTAGCAAAATCTCTAGGGAAGAATTCATAGGTAAACCGTAGTAGTTTATAGTTGATTCCACCCAACTCATCTCACTGCAATCGTCTTTCTTTAAGCCTAGCAGAGGAAAATCCTTACTTACGAGCTGAATAAGGTCTTTGGACCGTCCTAGATACAATCCTAAGAACGAAATTTGCAACGTCTTGTTGGTGCTTTCGCTTTTATGTGACCGGTTATAAATAGCTTCAGTTCTTATAAACAAGTTTGGATCTAAATTGTGTGCAACATGCTGCCATTGATCGAAAATGCCGCCTCCCCCTTCCTCTAAGGTCTTTCCTACAACAAAGGTGGTTACTATCTCTGGAACTTGGACTAATCTAATCTTCCATGCTAATACAACACAAAAACTAGCAGCCCCACCACCTCTAATAGCCCAAAACAGGTCTTCCCCCATAGTTTTCCGGTTAAGAATTACACCGTTAACATCCACTATTTCTGCATCAATGATGTGATCAACTGTCAACCCGAATTTCCTAAGCATATTACCATAACCACCTCCAGAGAAATGGCCACCCACCGCAACAGATGTGCACACACCTCCAGGGAAAGCACGCGTATTGCTTATTTTCGCTATGCTGTAGTAAAGTTCACCAAGCGTTGCCCCAGCTTGAACCCAAGCAGTGTCACTCCCTAGATCAATATCAATTGATCGAAGGTTGAAAAGATCGAGTATTATAAATGGGTTCGGGGATCTATAGGAGAGGCCTTCAAAATCATGGCCTCCACTCCGGATTCTCATCTCTAGGCCATGTGCCTTAGCACACAAAATAGTTGCTTGGACATGGGATTTGTCTGATGCTGTGACAATGGCTAGAGGTTTCGGGGCAGAGGACGTATTGAACCTTAAGTTTCTAACATTTGCATTCAGAACAAATGAATATGAAGCATTTTGTGGAGTGTAGACAATTTTTGTGATCAAATTTGAGGTATTTGAATGAAGGGTTAGGCAATCAAGAAAGTCTATAACATTATGTTTTGAAGCTAATACATTTTTTTGTAAAAAAATGCAAATTAGAATCAAAATTTTGAGCATCATCTTTTGTGTGGTAGAATGTTTTTCTTTTGTAGTTACTCTTCTATGTATAACACTGGTAATAAGAAAACAGAATCCATATCAATTAAAGCATTCACAAATCTTTCAGATATTACTATCTTTGCAGATTTTCATGTCTAAGGAAACATATATCATAAAATTGATTTACTATCAATAAATTTTTCCAAAATTCCAATATAATGCTCAATAATTAGGCTTTCTTTCCATTTAAATTTAAAATAAAAGCATATTCCCATTTTAAAAAAATATGCTTCGTATATTACGTTCTCCATTCTTAATACGTTATTTTTCATTTGATGATAATGAAAAATAGAGATAATAAGGCCCGTTCACTTCACCTTATTTTTAAGAAACTTAAATTATTTTCGCTGAACTAAAATTATTTTTATTGAACTAAAACTAATTTTAGTGAACTGAAGTTATTTTTGCGAAACTGAAATTGTTTTTTTTACTGATTTTCTATTATATTTCTTCTTTAAAATTACTGATTTTTACTGAACTGAAATTATTTTTACTAAACTGAACTTATTTTTACTGAACTGAAATCATTTTTGCTAAATTGAAATTATTTTTACTGAATATTATTTTTTTAAGGTGAAGTAAACAGGGCCTAATACGGAATAAAGAAAAGAAAAAAAAAAAAAAAAAAAAAAAAAAAAAGGTACCAATGCGGTAGGGAGAAAGATAGAGAGAAATTATGTGCAAATAAGAAAATATTACAACAAATTTGAAGTTTCCATTTAAATATGCATTCCATTATCAGTGAAAATCCTCTGTTTCTACTATTTACATGGAAGGAGGAAGAATGGCATGTCTCTCTCCTTCGGCTTTTTATAAGGAAGCCATGGCTTGTCTATTAGCATCCAAACCATCACCATTAACCCCCTCCAACCAACCAACCAACCAACCAACCCCCCACCCCCACCCACCCCAAAAAAAAAAAAAAAAACTCACACACACACACACACACACCAGGGCTTAGAGTTCCTTGACACAGGGCTGTAGCCTGTAGGCCGGATCCCGTGCCATGCTACCATCACCATTTTAAAAACACAAAACCCCTCCCTCTACTCTTTTCCAGCCCAAAATAAAAGAGGAGCAGATTAAATACGCTGTCTGAAAGTAAGATTCAGACGACCAGGGCGAAAATTAGTTTCTTGGAGCAGAGATGGTGGGGCAGTACCTGGCAGAATTGCAGAGACACCATGGAAAATATGTCTTGATTTACCTCCGAATATTAGAACATCTCCAGATTCTAATTTGATCTTATCAGCCTTTTCAGCATCTGCCTGATCACCATATAAAAATTCTGCAGAGTCACCAATGGAGAAAGACACAATAGGTATTCCTTTCCCAAGACTCTCTCGACTCTCATCCTTGTCCTGAAACAAGCAGATAAATGTATAAATCAAGGCCATGAGATCCTAGAGACTATAGAATTGTATATTTGTAAAAACAAAAAAGCCAGGTTAATTGCCAGATAGGCAACTGGGGCAACTTACTCTTCACCTTAATCATAAGGCAGAAGCCAACTCTAATGTTGTTTTCTATTGGCATTTTAGTAAATATTATGGTGTTAGTTGCTTAACTTATTAAGCTGACAGACACTTTGGCCCTGTAGTATAGAGGCTATAGAGCATAAAACAAGTCGGCAAACACCAGTTTTCTAATTTCATTCTAGCTTTTGGGACATTAGGTTAGAGACTATGAGTAAAGAAGCTAGAGTTTTTTTTTATCAAACTTACAAAGATGGTCTTTATTTAGTGATACAATACCCATTAACTTCAATTTTGGAGATCATTTGCTTGTTTCTAAGACTTAACAAGATTCCATTCGACAGCCAACAAACAAGCAAACAAACCAAAAAAGGTTACAGCAACAGTAAGACAATTTCTAATGTTATAGAATAGATGAGCTGTCCAAATGTTTCTCCAACATGAAAGTGTTGGTTGTCACACTGAAAGCTAAAGCATGTAATTTCAATACAAGAAAATCAGATAAAACTTAAGAATTTCGAACCTGATGTAAACCGAGCCGTCCAGTTTGTGAATAATAATTTACAAGGCAGATATCTGGCTTAACTGGGGGAAGAATGTCTTCTACATTATTTGACTGTTTAGCTATAAGAGAGTGAGAGTCCTTGATGGCTCTATCAACTAACAGTAGAAATTCCTGTGGAAGTGACGGCGGTTTTGCTTGATCAATTGGTCGATTTTTTACATATTTGCTGGCCTCAGGATCCCAAAACTGACCAAAACACATCATCCTCAGATGCAACTTCCCTCCCTCACGAAAACGAGGCTCATAGAAACCTGCAGGGCCCAGTCCATGGTCACGACATTTCTTTAAAATGTTTGCCTACACAATACAGGATTTGCCCATGTCAATACATTTGATTTTTGTATTAAGTTAAAGTTTAAAAATAATGCGGAGCAAATTCTGCATCAGAAGTTCCTCTCCTCCCCCTCCGTAAGAAAAGAATATTGAGTAGTGTGTTTGTAACACAACAAAAATAAGTAATTTCACCACATTGTAAATTGGAAGAGTAACAATTTATTATGTTTGATGACCAGGAAGAGTGACAATTTAATTAAAGCCAATGGTACAATACTACGCTACTGATCATCCAAATGGTTCTGATCTTATAGGCCACCTTTAGGCTTGTCACATAAACATGATTTCATATTCTTATAAATAATCAGGTTAGCAGCATTAGGTGGCAATGTGGCATGATAAATTTACACTTACAATGAGGAACAGAATTTCCAAATTTCAAAATACGGAGTGTTTCATCTCATCTAATGTGACAATAAAAACAAAGGAAGCTAAAAAAAAATGGCACCTGTTCGGAGGTTGAAAAGTAGCCCTTGAGTAGAACCATTCCAGATCTCAAAATAATTCCTTGAGGCCCACCAACAGAGTGTTTCATCTCATTTCGCTTTTCTCTATTCTTTGCTAACAAGGATGGTTTCAGTATGATCATGGAACCTGATTTTGGAGGGCATATATCAAAAACTCTAATTGGAGTAGCACAGTCAGAGCTTTCATTATTTTCATGGCCAAATTCATTCTCGGTACTTTTAAGAGGTTCAGCCCCAGAACAATGGTTAACTTCCACATCTGATTCCAGTGAAAGGCGAGACATATCGGCAAGATTGTCAACATTTTCCATGAATGAGCGATCAAGGTTTCTTGGAACTTTTGCATCAACAGAGCAACGCCCTAGATGTTCATCGTGGCTAGAATCAGCAGTATTGCTGGCCCTGGAGGAGGTCATCCATTGCTTTTGTCTACCACCACGAATATAACTCCCCCCTACAGACGAAGAACTTCCCTGTTGCTGGCCTTGGTGGCCTGCAGGAGTCATGTTATCATTATCTGGTGAGACAACACTGTCCAAACTATGACCTTTTACTTGCCATGAGCCATGTGGTTTTCTATCTAAAGAACCTCCACCTCTGAGCATAGAACTGCCATGTTTCTGGCCCTGGCGGTCTGGAGTCACATTCTCATATTTTTGTGAGACAACACCATCTGAGTTATGCCCTTTTACTTGCCATGAGCTATGTGGTTTTCTATCCAGAGAACCTGACATGTGCGTATTAGAAGGCGCATCAGCTTGAACCTAAGAAACGGTAAGTACAAAACAGTATCAATATTGCTCCTTAGTTGATCTTAAGCAAACCCCCAAAAGAGAAAACAAAACCAGTGCCAAAAAAAAAAAAAAAAAAAAACAACCAAATTAGTAATGCAGTATACAAAAATCAATCTTATGCTTGTTTTAGGCACAGCAAAAACTTCACAAAAACAAAACTAGTAAAACAAATTCATCAACCGTCATCATGCTCCCGGTTATAGATAACTTAATCAGAAATCAGTTACAACTATACCTACCGACATTACATAAGTCATACAGTATCAACATACTATCGTTGGCTCGTTGCTATGAAGGAAGAAATTTACTTCTTCCATTCAAATCAATTGCAAGATCTGCAACATTACCCACCCCTTTCATGTGTATTTAGGAATAGAGGAAGCACCATAATTTCGGCCACGAAATCAATATTGTGGATGATAAAAGCCAAATACTCTTTCCCCTAGACCATACTTCAAAGACCTTATAAATCAAATACTACGAAATTCATTTGAGCAAGCTCCATCAGTCCACAACATAAGCATAGTTCACCAACAGTATACAAACAAGGAAAATCCACTACTTTAGGTCAAGAATCTGTCTTTTAAACACTATCAAACAAGACCTAGATAATTAATAATATTGACAAAATTTTTAGGGAAAAACCCATCAATTTAAGCATTTAAAATTACATTTTCCATGAAAAAAAGAGAGTAATTAATCGATTTACACTGACTGTCCTACTATAATTATTAAAGAAGAATCACAAGTTCAAATTTGGCAAAATATAACAGCATGCGACGAATATAATTTCCAAAGGACCCAAACAAAAAGAAATAAAAAGAACCCTAAAACAAATCAATTTAAAAAATTAAGGAAAACCCTAAACAGTGAGAGAAAAAAGGAGAAAGCTTTACAGGGGTATGAAAATCAGGAGAAGAATCGGCAGTAACTTTCCGCCATGAATGGCGACCTCTACCTCTTGAAGATGATGAATAACCACCACTTCGATTCATTGCAGAGAAACAGAAGAGAGAGAAAGCGGGAAGTTATGGAATTTTGGCGGGTGAGTTGAGAGTGCAGTGAAATTATGGAAAGTATTTGAAGAAGAACAAGTAAGGAAATTGAGGGGGTTAATGTTAATTAATCTGAATTTGTTTGTTGGGGGGGAGGTTAATGGTCTGAATTTGACTCTGATGATCCACTAGGTTTCCAAATTCCAATGTTCCTTTATGCTTTCTTCGTAATTCACACTTTTTAAAAGGAGAAGAAAATATGGTCACTGGTCCGTACTTCGTAAAGTATCAATTATTGATCAAGTTCTTGTTTACTCCAACTTATTTTTACTTATTTTAGAAAGAATAAGTTCATATTAGATCAGATCAGATCAGAAAAAAAAAAAAGTTTGGATCATTTTCATCGTTTTTTGTGCAATTTTTAATCGCTAATGAAAAAATATCTTTAATTTCGTAATGAAAAAATTATGAAAATTATATATATTAATAAAATACACATTATTACGAATCTAACAAGATCTCACTTGATATATTTTTTCCTTACAGATTATCGTACACTTAAGGTCAAAGTTTGATCAAATCAGACAATAAGGTCAGATCAGATCAGCCCAAATCAGATAAGTTCAGATAAGCAAAAATAAGGTGAACTAAACAGGACCTAACTCAGCGGTCCCATTTTTAGGAATCTTCTCAAACCGATGCCTAACATAACTTTGACAAAGTTTTAGGAGGTCTTTTTAACTTACTAAGGTCCTGTTTTTTTTAACATATGAGCGGAGCAAAGCAGTGTCAGTAGAGCATAATAGCTTATTTATACTCAATAGTACAGGGCTCACTAGAGTAAAGTAGAGCAGAGCTGGGCTCAGCAGAGCAAAGCAGATTTCAGCAGAGCAGAGCAGACCACAACAGCTCAAAAGAATAGATCCTAATAGTGTCACGTGTCTTGATTCGTTAGACATATTTTTTTTAAGAAAAAAAATTAATCCTCCACCACTCCAAACACCCACCCCCTTCTTTTAAACCATCTTCCTTTTGCCTTAAAACAATACGGAATAATCTAATCTAATATAATATTTATAAATAAAGTAGGCATTTTTGGAGAACATTCGGAGCGTTACGTAAGAAATATACTTAATATATGGATGGTTTTGATTATTTTAAGAGATGATGAAAAAATTCCAATGCATAGATTTGATTTTATATCGCAACAATTTTTCATTTATTGGTAAATATATTGATTTATTTTATATAAATGTAAAGATTTAATTTATATCAATTTCAGTTTGGCTAACATTTCATTATATCGAAATAAAAGATATGGTAAAATAATGAATAATGATTTAGGATTTAAATTATTAAAAATTTATCATTTCACATTAAAGATTTTATATAACGGAAAAAAATATCATATTTACAATTTATTTATATTTAATAAATTCATTATAAATTATAGTAAAAAAAAATATTAAACTTTTGTAATTTTATCTGAAATTATTAAATACAATAAATCAAATAACTAAAAATATTAGATGAAAAAACCGTGCATCGTACGGACTTCCATCTAATATTAAGTAAAACGGACAACTAAAAATTCATGTGACAATTTGATACTCCCAATTGAGTGAGACAACAACGACTAGAATGGGCCGTATCCAAATGGCCTATGTGCAAACACACATGTGCAACCCTTCTTAAAAAAATTGAACCCATTTTGTGGAAAAAAAAAAAAAAAAGTTTGACCATTAAGTGAAAAAAAAATCTTATATGTGGTTGGCCACATCATATAGCCAACCACCATGAGGGTTACTCCGTTATTGTTATAGGGGTTACGTGATCAGTGTTATAGGGGTTACTCGATTAGTTTTATATGAGTTACTCAGTCAATATTTTAGGGGTTACTTTGTTCTTTTACAAGCGGTCACATGGTGTGGCTAACCACACACAAGACGCACTGAAAAAAAAAAAAAAACGAACTTATTTGCAGATTTAGGTTAATTTGGTTTTGCACAAATTTTTATATGTGGTTGGCCACACCGTGTGGCAGGGGTTACTCGTTTGGTCAAGGGTTACCTGTAGGGTTTATTTATTCAGGGGTTACTCGTTTAGTCAGAGGTTACTTATTTAGCGTTATACATTTGGTCAGGGGCAAATTATATAGGGGGTTCTTATTCAAAGGTTACTCGGTCAATCAAGGTCACACAGAAAATGCGCTAACCAATTGAGTAAGTAACCCTTACAAGTAACCCCTAAATAAATAATCCCTACCACACGATGTGGTTAGCCATACAGAAAAGTTGTTGTTTGATTTTGTCACACTAGAATGTATCCGTGTGAATGCACGGGATATATATTTACAAAATTTGAGGATTTGAGAGGTAGAGCATTGTCATTAGACGTGATTGTAGAACCAATATGTAGATTCTCGTCTGCGTATTCAATCTAGGGCTTGTTTTATTCAGCTTAATTCCAGTTCAGTTCAATTAATTTCAATTCCTAATTTCCTTCTCTCATAAACAATTAATTTCAGCTCTATTAAGTTATTTTCACTAAATCGGAACAGGTCCTTAGTTCACGGTCAAAATGGAGTTATACCTTTATAAAGAGGAACCCCTTTTTCATAAAATATTCCATTAACGACTCCACTAAATCACTATAGATGGGTACATTTAAAGCGACTCCCAATTTTTTCCTATTTCTTTGTCTCATTTGCAATCCAATTAACAATAATCGCTTATTTGTACGTGTGTCTGTGTGTGATTATATATTTCGAGCTCTACAAAAATGGGCAAGTTTTGATCTGATGATGTTTCTAGCAGGACAAAGAGATTCAAACACAAGAATAATACGTGACACTATTACACACGGGTTATTCTATAGCGGTCATTTGAAATATGATTATCATATTATTTTAATAATAAACAATATGATCGGTTCATTTTTCCGCATTATACAATGAACATAATTAATCTCCTAATATCAAATATAATTTTGAAAATTTTAATCCAACATATAATTATTTTTCGAGAAATCGTAACATAATAAAAAAAAAATTACATAAATGAAGCGAAAAATTTGATAAATAAAAAATATTGATCATACTATTTTATACCAAAAATAAAATATACTTCGTATAAATTTATTATTTGGACAAAAATATGTCAATTATGAACCATATAATCATGAAAATATTATAATAGTCATATTTCAAATGACTACTATAGAATTTTCAATTACACCTCATGATATTGAAATGAATGAAAGAAGAGGACAATTACATAAATTTCAGTAATAAATTGAAATTCAAAAGAAAATTTTAATATGATTCGGTAGCATGATGATAGACGGAATTGCAGAGTGCAGAGTGTTAGATTGTTTGTGTTTAAGTTATCCGCCGAACGGTTGGTGTGCTCCAACAGCACACCTCTTTGTTCTGAGCTCCTTTTGGGCGTGGGCGCTGCAATGTTCTGAAAATGAGCTTCTACCATTCAGGCATTTATTGTATCTATCTGAGTCAATAAATACTTGTTGGTCGCAAATCCCACCAATAGCACGACCATCCTCTTTCGAGCAAGGTTTTGGAAACAACTATCAATTTAAGTCCCCGTTTTGAAAACAACTACCTTTTAATTTTTTTTTTTTTAAAACAACTACCACAAAAATATTAAAAGTTATAGTAGCACTACCACATGTGAAATTCCGGCAAGAATCTCCGGCAACTGGGTCCCACATTCTACAATTCCCTCCATTTTTTTCTCTCTCCTCTGTATATAACTGCTTTTGTTCGAGCTTTAATTGAACAAAAATTCCCAAAAAATTTCTCAAATTTTCTCCCTTTTTTCACAAATTGAGCAAGAGGAATAATTTCTTGAACGCTACCTCAGGTAATTTGAGAATCTTATATGCTAATTTGGATTCGAAATTGGGGAAATTGGGAAAAATTGGGGAAATTAGGGTTTCGCTAAATTAGCAATTTTTGGGTAGATTGAATTGATTTATTGACATTAGGGTTTATTAATTGGTTGTTGTACATGTTTTTGCAGGATTTTGCGAATTGAATCATGTCCAATTCATCCTATGAATTAGCTTGACCTATTCCTGGCAAGTGCTACTGTGGAATCCCCCCCAAAGTCGAGACTTCGTGGACTAGCACCAATCCTGGAAGAAAGTTTGTTGCCTGTAAATTTTATGATGCTTATACTGGTAGGCGTGGATGCAAGTTTTTTGAAAGGATTGATGTAGAGATTGTGGAATGGAAAAAGGTGATTACCAACCAGCTTGTGTTGGAGAAGAAGCTGATGAAGGCAGAAATTGCTAATTTGAAGCAAGAGGTTTGTTTGCTATAAGATCAAAAAGCAAGATCGGTTGAGAAAAATGAAAAATTCAGCAAGAAATTGAAAGGTTCATCTTTGGAGTTGAAGAACTCAAGTTCCCCTGCCAAATCAGGCTGCTGGACAGTGGGTTTCTATGTTATATTTGGGATGACAATTATGTACCTAGCATTTGTTTTTATGTTTTGCGTTGTGGTACTTAGTTAATGCACAATCAGTAAATGCCACTAATTTTGTTATAAGTACTGTGGAAGTGGCATACTTCAAATGTATGTGCATGTTTGATTGTAATCGATGATGAATATGAAATGAAAATGCAATTTTCTATTTTGCAAATAAAAGTTGAATCATATAACACAAATCTGAGAATTGTTTTAGGCCAATGACCACAAAAGCTCATAATTTTTTTAGGTAAAATGAGAGCACACATAATTACATCATTGTTTGCAAAATAAGCAAAAACTTTCTCTGTGCTATCACTGTTCTATAAAACTACAGAACTTAATACTAACAAACACCAACTAACTAAACTAAGCCTAAACTATCAAGGCTTCCAAGCTGCTTGCTTTTTCTTTATTGTTGACTTCACAGGTAGCTTTGATTTGGGTGGCTGTTTTGGAGGCTGCTTTGGTTTGGTAGCTTGTTTAGCCTTTCCTGTTGCTGAAGCCTGGGTGGAAGGTTGTGCTTGATGAATGACATTGGAAGACCCCGCCTGACTACATTGGGGATCCATGGTTCAAGTCCCTACAGCTGGTACATCCTGCATCAACAAAAGAGTACATAAACAAGAAATTAATAACAAAAAACAACTATGATAATCAATTATAGCAAAAGTACTCATACCTGTCTCATAACCCTTTCCATTTTTTTCTTCCTTCTCGAGACAGTCCAAGCATTTTTTGAAAAGGGCCTTCCACCCTTGTCTAATGAAGGAGGGGCAGGAGGATTTTTGCATTTGTTTTTGTAATGGCGAGCAACTCCACAGTTTGAGCATTTGTTCTGTCTTTTTGGCCTCTTTATGAACCTTGACTCTTCTCCCTCTCCTAGCTCCTTCCTTCTCTTTTTCAAGGAGGGTCTCCCTGGCATCTTCTTGATTAAAGGTGGCAATGGTTGAGCCATGTTGGATGTTTCCCATTGCTTCATTCCTGGCATGGGTTTGATTGTTGGGGTATAAGCTTCCAAGTATGTTTGCTTTGTGTAGCATTCATGGACATAATCTTCAGGCTTGAGTCTTTTTTTCACAATACATGCCCATGCATGAGGACATGGAATACCAGTCAACTCCCAGTGAAAGCATGTACATGCATTATCATTTAGGTTGACTACAAACCTGTCACAGTCATAATCCACCTCCCACACATCAAACCTAGATGGCACAACAGTACACTTTGCTGCATATGATGCAATCCATTTGAACACCTTATGCACATAAGGCATAAACCTCCCCTCCTGAGCTTGAACTGCCTCCCACTTTTCTGTGTTCCTTCTCATAACATACCTTCTGATCCATTCAAGGCATGTTATGATAGGCTTATCTCTAGCATCTCTGATCACAACATTAAAGGTCTCACAGAGGTTATTCAGCAGCATGTTTGACTTAGAGAAAGTGCTGAAAGCATGCCTTGCCCAATGCTGTGGTAGGATAGCATCTAGGTAGTTGAATGCCTCCTCATCTAAGAGCCTTATGCTTTCTAGTTGAGCATCAAAATCAGCCTAATCCAAACAAGTACAAAGGTAAACAATATCATCATCACATAAACACAATACTGTATAGGGACATAGCCAATTCTAGGAAAAGCTCAACATCAAACCAGTACCTTATTTGTAGACCTTGTTGCCTTCCAAAACAGCTCCTTGAAAGTATCACCATGGAATCTGAGCTTAAAATTAGCCCAAATGTGTCTGGCACAAAACCTGACTTCTGCTTTTGAAGCCACCACTGCAATAGCTTCAATCAGGTCCTGTATGTATTTGCATTCACATGTCAAAGATACATTAAATGTTATAATAAACCAAATACCAATTAACATCAGTAAACTTACCTTTTGCCTGTCTGACATTAGTGTTAGTCCATGGCCTTGTTCAAAGCTTGTGTCCTTCAACAGCAAATCTAAAAACAAAGTCCAGATGTCCTTGTTTTCAACCTCCACAATAGCCCATGCAACTGGGAATATATTATTATTTCCATCCTTACTGACTGCAATCATGATCTGGCCTGGAAAAGCACCCTTAAGGTGACAGCCATCAACACCTAGCAATGGCCTACAACCCCTTTTAAACCCCACTTTGCAAGCCTCCAAGAAAACATACATTCTTTGAAAAAAAAGGGGGAGGTCTGCCAATGCCATCAATCACAACTATGGCACTAGAACCAGGGTTGTATTTTTGAATTGCATACCCATAGTCAAAATCCTTGCATACTCTTCTGATGCATCTCCATACAGTATCAGTTTTGCTCTAGCCCTAGCATACCAAGCCTTGTAATAACTGATATGTATGCCCAAATCTTTGTACACCCTATCCTTAAATCTTGCCAACTTCCAACTAGGATCTGACCTCCAATCATCCAGATACTTCATTGAAAGCCACTCTGAGTTCACTTTTGAATTAGAATGAAAAAACCCACAACTATGTTTCAGGTTCATGGTCTTCAATTGAAGAGTGGATTCACCTTTTAACTGTCTAAAATATATCCTAAAATTGCACTTATTTTCATCACCACAGTTACACTCTTTTAATTTCCCATGTTTTTTTTATCCTAAGGACATTTACACCAATTCCTACAATATGTAGTCACTCTATTGCTACTGTTATGCAACAAATAATAATCATAAGTATTCTCAATGCTGTGATTCCTAATTGCATTTCTAACTGCATAAACATTTGGAAATTTCAAACCAATTGAAAAGTTAATTTTGCTCTTAAAATCTACCTCAGGTTGAAGGTTGGGCATGGATTTACCTCATCATCAGATCCATGTAAACTTCTCAGCTCCTCAGAATCATACTCAACCTCCTGCACATCACCAATGGCCACATCTTCTTGTTGCACACTGTCTGCATTCACTTTGCTGTCATCCTATTGTTGGATAATTTAGAGTGTTGTAGTGGAGAGATCGCTCCACTTGTTAGCGCGCTTGTGAAAGACAAGCGCGGACCGCTCCAAAAGCGCGACAAAATTGCGCTGAGTTTCTGGAAAATCTGTAAAGTTTAGGAGGCGCGCCCCCGCCTCCGGATGGCGCGCCCGCGCCATGGTTTGGCGCGACCCGCGCCTAAACCGCGACAAAATCGCGTCAGGTTTCTGGAAAGTTGGATTTTTGGAAGAATGAGTAGGAGCGCCCGCGCGAGCAAATGACGCGCCCGCGCGCAGGGGTGGCGCACCCGCGCCCTATGGTGGCGCGCTCGCGCTGCTGTGGTGGCGCGCCCGCGCCTCCTCACTCGTCTTCGGTTTTTGCGGTTATTTCCTTTACATTGTTTTCGATGTTTTGTTTTTTGATACACAGAAAAACAGATTCCTCTCTGAAAAACTCTCTTTTCTCTACACTTTTAATTGAAGAATCTTGCAAACTCTTCATTAATTCTCCATCATTAAGTATTAGTTTGAGAATTTAACCATCTTATCACACATCTTTGTGCTAAGTGTGTGGTGTTGTCTATTGTATCTCAAAGTGAGTTTCCGGTCACAACCCAAGCACTGTGGTGGGGGAAATTATCACTTTAGGAAAGTGTATACACGCCTTAGACAAGTATCCGGTAAAGAAGACTCACGTGGTCATTGAATTTCTCATGTTCTTGGTGGTGTTCGGCTTGGAGTGAGGCAAGTTTAAGAAACTTTCACATTAGTGTTATTTTTGTTGTAATTTCTGAATTACTTTGTTAATTTAGTGCTTGGTTTGTAATACTACTTGAAGTATTTGGTGTTGTATGTTTCTTTGAAACTTATACACATTCTAGGGTTTGTTCCACCAATTCTTTAATTGATTCTTGTTGTGTAGAATCATAGTAAACCCTAACACCTATGCTGTGGGTTGATATGTACCCTCTCCATTTGCCCTGGCTGCAACCCTTACAAACTTGTCTCCATCACCATACTCTTCACCATCATCTTCCTCACATGGATCAAAATCAACATCAAGGTCAGAGAACCCTGAATCACTTGACCACTGCCCTTCATCACTGCAGTCATAGTCACATCCTAAGTCAAGCACTCTATTTGATTTCTTGGTGCCTTGCCCTTTCTTCTCCTTCTGTACTCCCTTCCTTGTTTTCTTCTCCTTCTGTACTCCCTTCCCTTTCTTCCTCTCCTTCTGTACTGCCTTCCCTGTCTTCTTTTTCCTCACAGCAACACTCTTTCTTCTGGGTGTTCCAGTACTTAGGGGAGATGCAGATGCAATATTAGGGTTGGTAATGGTAGAGTTGTTGTTCACGGAAGGAACATTGGGCTCAAAGGTAGTTAAAGGATTTTTTTCACATTCAATGGGTTTGTGAGGAGTGGAGGTTGATGTTTGTTGAGTGGTTTTGGATGTATGAGGCACTGTTGGGCCTTTTCTAGCCATGTGTTCTTCAAACTCCCTTTTACTGACAACCACATCATCTAGCTAAATCCACATTTGCACCACTTGCTTTAACAGGAGATAGACTATAACTTCTTCTCAGACCAACACTCTCCTTTTTAATGGGTTTAAGTTTCTTTAGAGGTGATTTTTTGGTGGGGTTGGACAGAATTTGGGCTGCTGGTCTAGGTGGAACATAATTTGGATTTTTGGACCTAACATTGGGGTTGGGCCTAATTTGTGGGGTATCAGGCTCAACTACAGCCCATATAATCACCCTGTCATTCATATCCCTCCCATTAACCAAATTCCTCAAGTCCTCTTCTAATTCCAACTTCCTTTTCCCATTTGTCAAATTTCTTCCATGCAACCTATACCATACACTGAAGTTCATAGGAACTCTTTTCAGAACCAAGTCATAAGCTTGTATCACTGCTCTCCTTACAGTGTTCACAGCCAACTTCTTCAACTAGAAACTCAACTTCATAAACATTCCTCCCCCAATATACTCAGTTTTTCCCTTTTTATATTCAAACACACCCCCTACCCATATATTCATGTCAATATACTCAGGAACAGGCCTACAATTAAATATTGTTTAATCAAATTTCAATTCATTGTTTATTAGCCATTTATAAACACATGTAAAGCAACAACACATGCTCCAACAAAAAAATACAATTTCTAAAAATCAAAGCAGTAACAACAACATTATTTAACTAATTAGTCGCATTAGGTACTCCAATTGCTTAATTATAAGTTAATTTACTTAATTTAGGGTTTCCAGTTCTGACATTGTACAATAAAAAATTAGGGTTCAAGTCAAACTTTACTTTCCCAAACAAAACGCCATAGATTTTAATTAAAATTACATACTATACCTGACTTTAAGTGGAATTTGTCCTTCACCAGCTGTCACCATCATCCCCTTCTCCATTAAGGCTCCAGCTTTCCCAATGTAGAAACGACAACTCCACTTTCGTTGCAACTTTGGACCACCGCGACAAAGACAGAAAAAGTGGGGAATAGTGGGGCAAATTCAATGACCTAAGTGTGAGGTGAGAAAGTGCGAATATTCTCTGAGAATTTCAGAAAACCTTGACAATGAGGGTTGAACAGAGAACAGGGGAGAGTTAGGCAGGAATTAATTGAGGAGAAGGGAAGGTGGGTGGGTGTAAATTAAAAGAGGGGTAATAAGGTAATTTTGCTTGGTCAAATGGGAGGGAATTGTAGAATGTGGGACCCAGTTGCCGGAGATTCTTGCTGGAATTTCACATGTGGTAGTGCTACTCTAACTTTTAATATTTTTGTGGTAGTTGTTTTACAAAATTTTTGTAAAAGGTAGTTGTTTTCAAAACGGGGCCTTAAATTGGTAGTTGTTTCCAAAATTTCCTAAAAAAAAATTACATAAATGAAGCGAAAAATTTGATAAATAAAAAATATTGATAATACTATTTTATACCAAAAATAAAATATACTTCGTATAAATTTATTATTTGGAGAAAAATATGTCAATTATGAATCATATAATCATGAAAATATTATAATAGTCATATTTTAAACGACTACTATAAAATTTTCAATTACACCTCATGATATTGAAATGAATGAAAGAAGAGGACAATTACATAAATTTCAATAATAAATTGAAATTCAAAAGAAACTTTTAATATGATTCAGTAGCGTGATGATAGACGGAATTGCAGACTGCAGAGTGTTAGATTGTTTGTGTTTAAGTTATCCGCCGAACGGTTGGTGTGCTCCAACAGCACACCTCTTTGTTCTGAGCTCCTTTTGGGCGTGGGCGCTGCAATGTTCTGAAAATGAGCTTCTACCATTCAGGCATTTATTGTATCTATCTGAGTCAATAAATACTTGTTGGCCGCAAATCCCACCAACAGCACGACCATCCTCTTTCGAGCAAGCTTCTCTACAGCTAACATGATCGTCATTGCAATCTCCTTCAATTGTTTCGCTAAGCTTGTTACAGAACCGCGGATTCCCTGCACCAAATTACATCTTTTGTGTTAAAATAACAGTTTTTTTTTTTTTTTTTTTCTTTTTTTTTTTCCGAGGATAATATCTCTTGATATAATTTCTTGATATCACTTAAGTATCTTCAAAATCATATACTCCGTAGTTGACATTGTTGATGTATGTGTACGTAGTAATAAAAGTAAAGTGGCAGCTGCTGTGCTATGGGTAAGCTTCGCCATTTTTCTGATTTCTTTCTTTGTGCACTTGCAAGAGGCTTTTCTTTTTACTTTTTTCTTATACACATCTACATGTCTGTTTTCTAATCTATTTATGATGTCAAATTGTCAAGTTATTAATTAAAAAGGCTACTACGTCCAATCGTGCAATCACACCTATTTTATTTTGAGTTTGATAATTTTTTTTATTAATTAATTTTATTATTATTTTTAAAAAACAGACAAAGTCATACAACCTATAAAAAATTAGTGGGAAGCCGAGATACAATCTTGGCCCCACTCTTCTAATATAGCAGACCCTATCTTAGTCATGAAAATATGAGCAGCGACATGTAGGGGTGAAACGAATGCGGTTCAAAACCAAACCAAACCACAAACCGAACTGAATTAGAAATACGGAGCGGTTTTTTTTTTTTTTTTTTTTTCTAATATGGTTCGGTTTGGTTTGAGAAAAAAAAATTGTGGTTTGTAGTTTGGTTTCGGTTTAAAGATTTGAAAAACCGAAAAATCAAAATATAAACCGAAATATAGCCCATATCCAAATTATAGGCCTTGTAAGACTTAGTCACTCTCACTACTTCATTAGAAGTTAGAACTTGTTATTTTATTATTTGATATTTGACATTTATTGGCTTTATTTTTGGATAATCAAACCCAAAAAAAATAGATTTTGAGTAAATAGGCCCATAAAAAGTTGTAAATTAAGGTCCAAATCACTAGGTCGAAAAAAGTGTGGTGTGGTTTGGTTTTTTTTTTTTTTTTTTTTTTTTTAAAAAAAAAAACAAATGAATTTTAAACAATGTGATTTGGTTCGATTTCAATAGTAATATGGTGCTGTGTGGTTTGAAAAATCCCAAAACCGAATTATATGGTTTGGTTT